GACGAAGGGCTACCTTGTCAAACTTCCAAAAAAGGGCAACCTAAGCCTTTTCAAGAACTGGCGCGGAATCATGCTGCTGTCCACCCAAAGCAAGCAAAATATTAAGCCGCATCCTCCTTGAGAGACTAAAGGATGCGCTGGATTCAAGAAGTACAAGTCATGTGCGGAACAAATTCCAACCCTACGCCACACATCATCATAGAGCAGAACATATGATGGCAGTCAACCCTCTACCTCAACTTCATCGACTTTGAAAAGGCCGGCCTTTGACAGCGTTGACCGAGAAGTAGTTTGGAAGTTGCTTCAATACTGCGGCTTTAGTGCCACAAGCCTTTATCAATCTCATTCAACAACTATATGCTATATGAAGACGCCACATGCCAAGTAATTCACAATGGGAAGCTCAGTGATGCCTTCGAAGTGAAGTGTACACAGGAGTAAAACAAGGCTGCCACCCACTGTCACCATTGATCTCCCTGATTGTGGTCGACTGGATTATGCAACAAACAGTGAGGAGCGAGAAGAGGGGGATACGCTGGATCGGGGAAAATATCCTAGAAGATTTGGATTTCACCGATGATTCATGTTTAATGTCGCACAAACTGGAAGATCTACAGGCAAAAACTAACACGTTGACAGAAGAGGCAGCGAAGACAGGACTTCAAGTGAACGTAGAGAAGATAAAGGTGATGAAGATACTCAACCAACAACAGCATCAACAACAACCACCGATCACCATCAACAGGAGAAACCTAAAGGAAGTAGTCTCCTTTACCTACCTAGACAGCACCGTTTCAACTACAGCCACCTAACCCTAACCCTGGCAGCAGAGACGAGGATGTCAAAGCGAGGATCGGAAAGACAGCAAGACAGGTGTTCATTAACCTGAAACCAGTGTGGAGATCTTCTGCTGCACTCAGCATAAAGTGTGGACAAGATCCGGATTTTCAACACCAACGTCAAGTCAGTGTTTCTATATGGTTCAGAGACTTGGTGCGTTACGAAAGCATTTCCAACAAACTACAGATATTCATCACCAACTGCCTACGCTGGCTCAATACTGAAGATCAGATGGATGACCAGAATAACAAGAATAAGCAACAAGGAATTCTGGTGTGGCAACGAGCCAACCAAGAACCTATCACTCAATAAATCTGCAGAAGGAAGTGGAGATGGATTGGACATACACTGAGAAGGCCGAGTGGGGACATCACGCACCAGGCTAGGCTAGGCCAGGCCAGGCCAGGCCCTCGAGTGGAAGCCAGATGGGAAACGACGAGTTTGGCATCTGAGCCGAGGGTGACACTGAGGAGATCGTGGGAGGAAGAAATGAGAGCTTGTGGGTTGTCGTGAAGCCAGGTTTAAAAGATTGCAGAGAAGAGAGTGCACTGGAGACGTGCTACTGAAGGCCTATGTTCCACTAGGAACGCAACGGACAAATAATAATACCTAATTCAACTATTATTGATCATCGGATTAAACAGTACAGTTCATGTGAAGAATATGTTGGAGTTTTCTAAGGGTTGACAGCTCACCAGTAGACTTCAGTAATGTATACCCTAGGCTATGTGGTAACACGAATTGCTAAACCACCAATTCCAGAATGAAAATGAAGAGTAGTTCTGGGAAAAGCCTGTTTTCAGCCAATGCAACTATATGCAATTTTCTTGAGCAGGATGTTTAATGTTTTACAATAAATTATTTTCATTGTTTGGAGGACAGGGTTAGAATCAAGATGATTTGTCGTTAGTTAACAGGAGTTGGAGTTACACAAATTAATATAATATTTGAATGAATTGTCATCAACAAGCATAGAAACACTCAAGAGTTGATTTGACATAAGTGCAAATCCAAACATTTGATGAGAAACAAAAAAAACAGTCGTGAGTAACCTAACTTCCTACTGCTAGTGATACCATTACTGTCGTTTCCTTGTTCTTCGCTTGTTTATTTTCCTTTGCTATACAGACACAAAGTATAATAACCAGAATCAGTAAGTAACTATATATACAAAAACTGTACTCTGTGGATGATTGTTTATCTCATTTTAACTGATGTCGTGTGTCCACTTCAAAGAATTTTCTCAAGGAGAACTGGTGGTAAATGTTTCACTCTGATTTGATCATTTTGAACAAAGTACACAGAATCTGAGTAACATGAATATTAGTTATTGATGTTTGTAATTTCGCATTTATTAATATGCTGGATTGAACTGGTCGGTTTCTCTCGGCATCTGAGCTTCTTGAATGGATACCTCAATATTTCCTAAAGTTTCATCTCGGTTTATTCGTATGTTGATAGCTAGCAATGGAATCCAGCACGCGCGTTCTATTCCGTTCGGGAATCGTAGGCTGGGTGTACTAGCATCTCAATGAGACTCAAACAGCGCTAATCGCATTAAATGTCAGGCTACTATGTAATGATAACCACTCCTTGTGCTACATAATTTTATGTTAAAGCATACCATGACCGATTTGTAGGTCATCTGTATTCGCAGATCTAATGTTGGATGCCAGTGTGTCATTCAAATACTTAGAAGGAACATCACAACAACTTAGATGTGGTTGAGATGATTACTAGGACATTCCATCTCATTCCAAAAGGAATGGCTATCACAACTCACTAATCTAGTGAATAATGCTGGGGTATTTGAAGTGGTCGGTGTTGGATTCGAGTCTCAGCCAGAACTCATTGAGATGTAGGGACACTCAGCTGACAAGCCCCAAAATGGACGAAACAGGAGTCAGGAATTTTATTGCTAAGTTCAACAAGCATATAAGCCTAGATATTATTTTGACTTCACTTTTGAATACACAACTGAATCCTCTGTAGTGGCTGCAAAACCATATTAATATGAATTAGATCTCAAATGAATTACGCTAGACTGGAATGATTATCATATCCCACACATTAAAACTAGGATAAAACCATGTTACAATAAAAACTGATTACACAAAATACTTATTATACCTACATAGGGCATCTACATACACAAAGCCCAAATCCGAAATATATGTACATATTTGAAGTCTGTAACAGAAATGCACTTCACAGCTAGGTCGCGTGACTTAAATAGTCAACAAAGTAACAAGGTGACAGCATGCAATTATGCACAGTTCATAATAAAATTGAATGACTTTACGGACTGGTGTCACATTTTGATTTAGTTCAATATATATGCATCCCTTTTGAATATATAACACGTACAATGTGTTATAGATTAATTTTCATTGGTAAAATAGTACATTCAGAGCTCAAGTAGCACTTATACTTGCACAATAAGCTAACATCTCAAACAAAGGCCAGTGTTTCATCACAAATCAGCATTTATAGAATTGACGATACTTTGATGTTAAGTTGATAGATGCAATCGGCAGGAAATCCTGGATCTAGGTTGCATGCTTATTAGCACTCATCAGCAAGGCGTATCTTTAAATTCAAGAGGACTGATGTCTCTCCTATGAGATCCGAATCTAGGTCATTCAGTATTTCAGATAAACGCTATTCGGGCAGTGACTGGCCTTCCGTAGGACTGGATCATACGCCTTGTTTGACCACTGGAGAGTAACCAATCTTATGTTATTTATTCCCAAAGTACTGACCAAATCCTAACGATCATTTTGTATATTTAGACCACCAAGCTGCGAGATTCACTAACACGATGCACTTTGATGTTAAGTGGTTTGAGGGGATCGGCCCATAAGTGAAATCTCTGACTGCAGCACTGGCTGAAGCAGGTTGTGACTTGTGAAGGGACATAAACTCCCTTAAGACCACAGATATGCCTTGAAGACGAGCAGCGACAAGTACGAAAAGTACATCAAGAATCAAAAGTGCACCGCCAGAGTGAATCTCTTAGCTTATCAGACACATTACAAAATTATCGACAGAATTCGATCAGTACTTAGAACTAGATAACATGAAATTGGCTATTTTCCAGTGACAGATTGATGCTAAGATACTTTCTCTACAATATTTTGGCGTTAAGAATACAGAGAGAAAAATAGGAACATATACATGCTTTGAGAATTCTTCGTAAACACGATCTTTTCAGAGAACGGATCGTAATAGCAATTAGTAATATCTATACACATAAATCAAGCGTGTGAGCTAACTGGTATTTAATTTACCTTCATCTTTCGTAAACAAAATAAGTATTGATGTTAACTCGCTACTTTAATGATTTCAATTTACAGCTTTCTGATCCTCCCTAGTTCTGAAAAATAAAGCTGTACGTTTACAGAAAAAAGATAGTAAAACACTGATTACAGCACGCCACCACAAATGATAGTAGACTAAAGCAATCCTAAAATCAAATAGTATATGAAGAATTGAAATTTTCCGTCTTATTTTTCACGGATTTCATTCAAAAAAAATATTGAGAAAGTACTGTGATATTAAACAAATAGTTAGTTACTTCACTAATGAATCAATTAAAAGTGCATTTATAAAGTTGACAGGATTGCGGAGTGAAAACTCCTGTTTCCATTTTCAGAGGTTTTGACTGAAATTAATCACTGCGTGGGAGCCAACACAAATTCAAAACAAATTGCATTTCTTTTAAATAAAGTATCCTCGGTGAACACAATCAAACTTCAGAATAAAATCACACCTCGCAGTTTAAAATTGTATGATTCGTGTAAAAATAGTAACATGTGAAAACACAAATAGAATTAGTTACAAGAATATTCCGGTTACCATCAGAGTGATCATTGATCAGTGCTAGTCAGAGCTTACCAATGAGAGGAAATTTCTTTTTTTAGTATGAAATTGAGTTAATAATGATGCCTAATTTAGCAATAAATTTTCCAGTCAAATGGATAGCCTAAGTTTCGAGTCATAAATATGGCAAAACAGTTATTATTTTCAATTGTACCACAGAAGACAAGCGACAAACGAGTTTGCTTTCAACGGAAAGAAAATATTTGTCGAGACTTATTTCCTTCAAACTGACTAATTTTTACCAGAGTTTACTGTTGAATATATACATATAAACATACTGAAAGATTGGTCCGATACATCCAAATGCCAAAGATTGATGCGTAGATCATCAGCCGAAAGAAATGTTTCTTGATCCGAATTTACAGAAACTGCATTAATGTGATAAGTGTGAGCATTGGCAAACAAGCGTTTTGGACGTGCTTCAATTGTAAGATGACGGGATTTACGAAACTTCGGTATACGGAGACTGTCTGGTGTGGCGAAATGGGGAATAGGAGGGCCAATGGTATTTAACCGATCTGTACTTTCATGCCATAAACTGGCATTCTCATCATCACGAACATTGAAATTATAGGCTTCATAATGTCTTTCTGATAGCCGCCAAAGTTTAATAGTTTTATCTAAACAACAAGATGAACAAGAAGATATGTATGAATATTGCAATTAGGGAGTGATACGGATACTCTGCTACCAATTACGAAGAGGAGACAAAAGCATAAGCATGATGAAAAGCTCAAAAATCAACTGATATGTAAAATTCTCTTTGTTAGATAAAAACCTCACTTATTTGCATAATCACAAAGTCAGTATAAGCATATGCCAGTTACAAAGCATACGCTTTTGTCAGAGAGGTTGGTAGATAGTAAGACCCTGTGCAAATGTGCACCAATCAGAGTTCCCGAAATATATAACACCACGCAAAGTTGATACAACTCCAAATTTTAAAAGTAGGCGAAAAGGATCTGACACAGTATAAAAAAGAAGAGTTAATAAAAAGTTTGAATTTTCATAGATTAAAAAGAGTGCAAAAATTCGTATCACTATGAACGCTTTTGTAACATGTTCCCAAGAGTCTGCAGTCACTAAAACTTAACATTTTGAGGATATCAGGAAGGTGGATTGAATGACGTAGAACAGCAGTCAATGGCTTCATAGATCGTTGTCGTATCCTGTTATAGTCACTGTTTGCTTTTCACTAAACTGTCATGAGAAACACAAGTTGAAATTAAAGTTGGTCTATATTCAGCATCAACTAGCTCACCTTTCTCGCGCAGAACTTACCACACTATTTGTTAGGGATGGCCAATCCCTATTATTATCACTGTAAAGTTTAAGTTTCGCGCCTTTTCTGCGCCATGTTATGTTTCCTAATTGTATCGCACTTTAGGATACCAAACGATGATTAGTCCATTTTACACTTTGAATACGCTATTTTTTCTCTGGCCAAGGCCATCTAAAGATGTATAAACGACTGAGTTTTCACTCATCAGGATTCGGTTGGAGTGAATACAATTTCAATCCCATCATCTTCTTCTGGTATCAGCCGAATATTGAGTTGAGAAGTCATTGTTCTATCGCTAATCGCATTCGTTTCGGAGCGTTGCATCGTTATCTATAGCCTAGGATCGTAACACTACTTCGAAAAACTGCTCATCATACGTGAATTGTATTAAAAAGATATTTCTGATCAAAATTCATAGTCATGTTTGGCAGTTGTGCATTGGAGGGAGTGGATTGTTGCACACTATGCTCCACTTCGATGAATAACCGGATATCAGACGAACACCAGAGACACAAGTGGTCCACAAATAAAAAGCGAACTTTTCGCATCCCTGCCATTAATTTATGAAGGATAATACAACTAATCAAACAAGTCAATCAATCGAAGCATTCAGTCGCTTCACTTCCTATTCTTACAATTGTTATTGTTACATACGAGTCCTCCAGTATCACCTTACTTATGAGAAAACATTGTTTTTGCTTAACACATTCAGAAAACTCTGCATCTAATCAGTAATTTTTTTAAACACAACTAGGTCGTTTGAGCATCTCATGTCCACTACATACTCTTCAACAGGAGACCAACTCCTAATAACTCAAAAGCGAGCAGAGTTATTTTAATCAGTACATGGACAGCAAGGTTGGGTAGGATTGGAGATGGTGGACAGTCATGGTCAATAAAAGTGGGTGTCACAATATCAGACAATTCTTGGAGGATCCTCGCACAGTTGTGTTAACTCGGGTACAGCACCTTGTTTAGTATAATACGCTTGCGTGACACTCTCTTCTACATTAGAAACTACCACTAAACCTCCTAATCAAATAAGTCAAACACCAGGTAAGTAAAACTGTGGTTTAGAACCTGATGAAGAATGAAGAGATCTGACCAATTCACTTCCAACCAAGTTTTAAAGCTCCCCAGCTTATTTTAGGCTTACTGTCCTTCAGTTTCAGTCGGGCATTAAATGACTCTTGACCATGGGATCAAAGACACTAAACTAAACAACCTGATTATCCAGTGATGCTGAAAAGACTTTTCTCCTTTCTTACTGAATACAGTGACAAAGCCTCAATACTAGTTTGAGGAAAATAACTCCAGTTCCAGTGTCCAATTAGTACCTCACTTAGTCCAACCAACAAATATCAAGTGTCTATTTTAATAAATTCTAACAAAAAACCAGCAAACTGTTGCCAGTGTTTAGTTATTCTAACTGCGACCTACAGCTAAATCGGTCTAAGAAGACGAGAAAATATTGTGGCTCTAATACAATGCAGTGTTTTATATAGTCATTTATTAGCCGACAACGACACGATTCCACGAAGCCAATAATCGCTGATCTGAATAGGATGATTTGCTAACTGAGATCCTTAAGATAACAAGCATTTCACCTAAAAGATTTGTGGAGCGCAAAATGATTTCAAAGCAGCTTTCATACTGGATCTATAGCAGTTATAGAACCACTGAAAACCAGGTATCAGTGAGTGGCTGTTTCATCCGTGAGAACTGAGTCCTGGACTTGATCTGACGCAGGATAGCGGATGCGCATAGTTGAGATGGTTCAAACTAAAAGAAAACGGTAGTCTAGTGATTCCTGACCTTCAGAGGTTCTATGGCTGCTGTTGATTAATAGTTAAAACTACTTTGGAACCTTCGGAATCAATGGTTAGACTTTCGGTCACATGGTCTAGATTGAATCCCAGAAACGTGAGTGTGTTCACTTTTCACGATCGAAGTTCTGAATAGTATATTCATTCTTATTTATTTACTAACTCCTCCAATATTATTCTTGATCATTGAAAAACTTGTTGAGTTCTATCAACTTTCTGAGTTTTAGCAAATCCTGACAAATTGAACTGGTGCAATTCAATGCAAGATTTTGCTGCTTTCTTTGATGTCTGTCTTTATATTTTCTGATATTTCACCACTGAATCTGACCTCTAGATCACATATTGATAGTCTTCAATACTTGAATCGATATTGAATGAAACATAAATTTTCCGTACAATAAAGTAGCAACAGAGCAGTATTCTTAAGCTTTGAGCAAGAAATTTTGACAAGAACTGGTTGCAAGATTAGAAATTTGTGACCTATTTGATAATAGTCCAATAGTCTCAATGTCTTTTGTAGCACTATTTACTGTGAGATGAAATAAAATACACAGTACTCTTGTATATATACGTTTTACAGAAGTTGGTTATACAGACAAAGTAAGCATCCTGTGTACAGTTGAAGACTTAGTGAAGCAAGAGAACTTCAATCTCTAATTTATTATTATTATTATTGTGTCAGCTAAATGAATTTGTGTTTACACAGCTATTTGAGTAAGCTTTATGAAACTCATAATAAAACAATAAATGAATACGTGCTTAGACTATCATACACTATAACAATCTAGATAAAATAATTGTAATCGGGACAGTGCACTACACCCAAAGAAAGTACTATGGTGTACCAAAAGTTAAGACCATTTTGCACTGGAGAATTATTATTCATCTGTACTACTACACTAGGAAAACTCGAAGTCACTCGCACGATGAGTACCCACTAGTTCCAGTTGCGTCGGTGACATTTAATTGTTAAGTAACATGTACGTATTATTACATTCTTTAATTTATTTCTCGTCTTGTATCTTGATGTGCGGCTGAGATGGATAGAAAGTCAACTCGACTGCTACACAAGCATTACACAACACCATGTTAACTGTACAGTAACAAGTTTACATAATGAGACTCTCTGCAAGCCAGTTGTCTTCTCAAATATGCGAAGGCAGTATAAAAGGTTGAACAGACTTATATATTCTATAAAGATACTATGCAAAAAAGAAGTATGTGTGGAAAATTGTAGAATATGTTAACAGCCGGTGTTAGAGACAGCAAATGATACACTAAGACTATGACATTCTTAATAACGACACTGAAGACAGTCGTCTGTCGCATTAAATTCGCTCCTCGTGTAGCCTCAGCTAGTGCATAAACAGAAAGATGAAGTGTATTTTGATGTGTATCACACTCATAGTCCTAAACTATGTACTACTAAAAACTTGGCTCTTAACTCAATGAAGTGTGTTTTGATGGCGATCATTAAAACATCCTGAATGGATTAATCACGACGCTTGATAGACACAAAGCTAACGTAGAACAGGACACAGGAATGTATCAGTTCAATTTGCCATTCTTCACAGGTATTAAGAGAAAAAGTAAGAAGAAAAAGTGATTTCAAAGCAGACAAGTATATGAGGAGAAAATCTGAAAAATGAAATTTAGTGGAAATGCTCAAACTTTAGGAAACATCAAACAGTGAATACGTCCGTTACACTATGACCGTTTCTCAAACACATGATCAACACTTTGGAACCACTGATTTCTGTCGTCTGAAGACCCCACCCAAACAGGCAGTCTACAGATTCCTACATGGCTCACACCAGCAGTCAGACACATCGTCGACTAGTACCACTTCTTGATCTGGTCTTCCTAACCCCTCGTACTTCGGATAACATTGCACGTTGTGGTAGGGGATAGTTCTGGATGCATAACATTATTATCATCTTTTCAATATTTGTCTGTTGGGTTCCTAATAGAACATAGGCCTTCAGTAGCACGTCTCCAGTGCACTCTCTTCTCTGCAATCTTTTAAACCTGGCTTCACGACAACCCACAAGCTCTCATTTCTTCCTCCCACGATCTCCTCAGTGTCACCCTCGGCTCAGATGCCAAACTCGTCGTTTCCCATCTGGCTTCCACTCGAGGGCCTGGCCTGGCCTGGCCTAGCCTAGCCTGGTGCGTGATGTCCCCACTCGGCCTTCTCAGTGTATGTCCAATCCATCTCCACTTCCTTCTGCAGATTTATTGAGTGATAGGTTCTTGGTTGGCTCGTTGCCACACCAGAATTCCTTGTTGCTTATTCTTGTTATTCTGGTCATCCATCTGATCTTCAGTATTGAGCCAGCGTAGGCAGTTGGTGATGAATATCTGTAGTTTGTTGGAAATGCTTTCGTAACGCACCAAGTCTCTGAACCATATAGAAACACCGACTTGACGTTGGTGTTGAAAATCCGGATCTTGTCCACACTTTATGCTGAGTGCAGCAGAAGATCCCCACACTGGTTTCAGGTTAATGAACGCCTGTCTTGCTGTCTTTCCGATCCTCGCTTTGACATCCTCGTCTCTACTGCCAGGGTTAGGGTTAGGTGGCTGTAGTTGAAACGGTGCTGTCTAGGTAGGTAAAGGAGACTACTTCCTTTAGGTTTCTCCTGTTGATGGTGATCGGTGGTTGTTGTTGATGCTGTTGTTGGTTGAGTATCTTCATCACCTTTATCTTCTCTACGTTCACTTGAAGTCCTGTCTTCGCTGCCTCTTCTGTCAACGTGTTAGTTTTTGCCTGTAGATCTTCCAGTTTGTGCGACATTAAACATGAATCATCGGTGAAATCCAAATCTTCTAGGGTCTGTTCATCAGTCAAACACCGTACGCCCCACTTCTCGTTCCTCACAGTTTGTTGCATGATCCAGTCGACCACAATCAGGAATGTCATGGGTGATAATAGGTGGCAGCCTTGTTTTACTCCTGTGTACACTTCACTTCGAAGGCATCACTGAGCTTCCCATTGTGAATTACTTGGCATGTGGCGTCTTCATATAGCATATAGTTGTTGAATGAGATTGATAAAGGCTTGTGGCACTAAAGCCGCAGTATTGAAGCAACTTCCAAACTACTTCTCGGTCAACGCTGTCAAAGGCCGGCCTTTTCAAAGTCAATGAAGTTGAGGTAGAGGGTTGACTGCCATCATATGTTCTGTTCTATGATGATGTGTAGCGTAGGGTTGGAATTTGTTCCGCACATGACTTGTACTTTCTGAATCCAGCCAGCCTGTTCCGGTCGTAATTTTGAATCCAACGCATCCTTTAGTCTCTCCAGGATGCGTAACATAACCGAGTAAAGTCAGTCAGTAGAGGTTCACAACCTCAGTACCTACCTTGACGCATTTGCCTAGTATCCTTCGCTTAACCTCGACACTGCATACGAGACGACTTCACCGTACAGAAGCTACGCTGCAGAAACATCTGTGGTCAAAAATCCGTAACTACTTGCGAAAAATTACTCAACCCGCCACCAAATGCTGATAAGACGTCACTTAATTATACTATAAATATATATAGCTCATCGAATCGAGGAGCTTAGTAGAACAAGCATCATAGGCACAATAAACCTTACAAAGAATTAAAATGACACCTACCATTAGCAGAGAGAAGATGATAAGCAGAAGTGTAGGCTTGAAGCCAGGTAATCGAGTTAATCTTTTCCTCAATCTCCAATGATTTTAAGTAGTCGAATTCCGGTTCATGACTTGTAAATGTGCAATAAATGTCGTATAACCCAACCTAATTAGAAGTAAGAAAAACACCCGTAGCAAAACTTACATCTTTGTTATTTCTGAAAACTGTAACACGGCCTGATTTGTCACCGGTTGCTAACAGTTCTCCAGTTTCATTGAACTCAACACATGTGAAGTTATCACCTACAAATATTTCACCAACAATGCTAGAAACTAACCATCACCAATGTCATCGGCAGTTGATCCTTTTATTTGACTGACGTGCCATTTAATAGACTCTACAGAAAATATAACAAGAAAATATTAGCACTAAGAAATCAAGTCATCTTGCTTCGAATAACCATTAATTGTAGGTTTGACGAGTAATTTTTCTTACCTGGTAGGTGTAAACGTTGAACTAATTCCAGTGACAGTAACTGTAATTTCATTTAATTTCCAGTTGATAGTCTTCGATGCGCTGTTAAACTAACTGGTGCCTTAAAGACTCAGTGGACCCAAGTAACACACTGTAACCTACATATCCAATTAATTCATTTCGAACAAAATGAATGATGATTTCTACCGAAAGCTTTCTAGGGTTTTACAAAACAATGAGCATACAGATGTTGTAAATACCGTTGACAAATTCAATAACTAAACTAACTAGAACCCTTGAATAGTAACTTCGAATCAATCTGGTGATCACTTTTTGCAACTGTGATGTGAAAAGTAACTAAAGGTAACTACCCTCGTCTTTTCGAATCCTGTGATGTTTGTCTTTCGGTTTACCTGTCTTTGTGTGCATTCGGTTGGCACGTGTCGGTTGGGATAAGGTATATGACATTCTGAAAACAGAGGTAATGTCCGCTCATGTTATCCGATTCACGTTAGAACGCGTTTGGAACTAATACCGTTGCGTACAGAAATCACAAAAGTGGTGAGCCCGATGCTTGGGTAAAGAAATCGAGGATCTGTATCATAATTTTCGTGGATTATATTATCTGTTCTCGAGCATATCATATATTTTGAACACATTTAACAAACTGTCATTTCAATCAAACTCACTGCATTTTCTGTTCTGGTGGGGAAATCATGTTGTTTACCCCACGTAAATTTATTCGAAATTCACGACGAACGCTGTACGAACCAAAAGATCTAGTACACGTTCACAGCCTCTGCCAGAGAAGTCCGATTCACTGACCTCACGTAGCGGGGATTTTTTCACAGATGTAAAAAGGTGCAACCGAATGTCGCGTGCTTATCATAGAAATAGGGGATACTGAGGAATCTACATAGGAGAGTTAGAAAACCCTGATTCCAAACCAATGGTGCCCATGGGCTTCAAATTCCAGATGAAATGAAAGGCGTATAAACCGATTTTGGTCACTGACAACCGTGGGAATGCAGCTCCTGATGCTGCTCTACTGCTTTCAGGATTACACTTCAAGTCAAAAGTTGAGAGAGTGATCTCATAAGACAAGCAACAGCTTCCGTTTGAGACCAGGCAGTATTCCAGGATTAACATAAAATATGAACTATGAACTTATAATATAAAAAGACTTCAATGCTATCAATCAACTTTTCTGCTAACACTAAAGCTCTCCGCACTGAGAACTTATTAACCGATTACTTAATTTATTGCTATTATACTGTGTTTTCTGTTTTTACATATGAACTGCATCTTTTTTATTATTATCATTTCCGCTTTTGTCTTTATCTTCACTTCAATCAGCTGCTCTTCATTCCTTAGACTTCTGGTCTGTCTGTACCGTTTTTAGTCAATAAACAGTTGCCCCTATAAAACTGTCTTCTAGTGCCCCCTCTGGCGCACCTATCCTGAAATCACCCATACCGTTTGAGCTCGCCACTTTCAACATAAGTACCTTGATGCAGATCGGACAACAGGAAGGTCTGGCTAGGACTCTGGAAAACCTCGCCATCAATGTATGCTGCATCTCAGAGACCCGCATACAAGATTCCAGTGAAGTGCTTTGAATTACTTCCCCATCTATCAGCTCGAAAAGTATGTTTCGTGTGCGCTTACCTGGGGACCAAGTGGCATCAGCAACCGGTCTCTGATGTTGGTGTCGCACTAAACGCTCAAGCCGAAGCTGCGCTGTTCGACTGGATTCCCATCAACAATCGTCTATGTGCTGTTAGGCTAGAAGGTTCAGATCGAGTAAGAAGTAATCGGCAAGATAAACGATGTCTCTTTTTCATCTCTGCCTATGCTCCGATGGATTGCAGCCCAAATGGAGCCAAGGATGAACTCTTTCATAAACTGAGTAACCTCAACCAAGTGTGCCTGACAGATATCGTAGTGCTAGCTGGGGACTCGAGTGCGCGGGTCGGGCGTCTAGACTTAGGGGAGAGTCGTTTAGATGACCAATGGGGACTAGTTTGCCGCAGGTCGTACAATGGGGATTGTCTCCTTCAGCTTTGCTTAGATCATATCTTATTTTTAGCCAGCACCAACTTCCGGCACAACCATCACCGTTGTGCCACTTGGCGTCCTCCTTCTGCCACTCAAGCGTGGACTCAAATACATCATATTGCAATCAGCTACTGATGGCCTGGGTGTATACAGGACTATCACTCCATATGGAGTACTTGCCTGGATTGTGATCATCCTTTAGTGTATGCTAATCTCGTCTTGCGTTTTGATGGTCATCAAAATCGTCGTCCTAAACAGGTTGATGCAAGCAGATTAGCTGGACCTAACATTGCAGCTTAATACCGATCCGAGCTAGATTTAAGGCTAGCTACCGGTCCTCCAGAAAGTGTAGACGAGTGTTGGCTGCCTTTACAAGACGCCATGAAAATGGTGAGTAAAACAGCTTGCGGCTTGGAAGAACGCCCCCCTAATAAACACTGGGTCTCCGTAGGCTCCCTACAACTTTTTGACACCCGTCAAACCATTCTGGCGGATAACGAGTACAATGGTTTGCGTAAGTCTCTTACACGAAAGATTACACTACGCTTACGCAAGGACCATAAGGCTTGGTGGTCAGAACGCGAGAGTGAGATGGAAGTAGCAGCTGCATCTGGCAATGATCGAAAGCTGTTTCAGCTCATCCGAGTAACTGGCAGCAAGAAGCCAGGTGTCAGTGAGACGGTCAGTGAGGTAGATGGTACGTCGATAAGCAATCTTCAAAGACGCCTGGAACGCTGGGCAGAGCACTTCGAAAAGCAGTTTAGCTGACCCACTCCTCTAGAATTATCAGTTAACACTTACCCACCTAACGAAGCTGAAGTCCATAAAAAACTTCAAGTTTTGAAACGCCATAAGGCACCCAGCCCAGACAACTTTCTCCCGACTCTAATCAGGGATGGAGGAACGACTCTAATCAGGTTGTCTGAGAAGGTATGATAGACTGAGGGTGTCCCATCACTCTGGAATGAAGCCATTGTTGTGCCCATCTGTGAAAAAGGTCTACGTAAAGCATGTGACATTCATTGAGGTGTTAAGTCTGTTACCAGTAGCGCCGAAAATATCGGCTGCTATCATACTTTACAGACTTTGCAAATCACGTGAGGAAATGATTCGTGAGGAGCAAGTCGGGTTTCGTCCAGGTTGTGGATACACTGATCCTTTATCTACCCTCCCCAAATGCTTGAAAATCGCCACACATATTGTAGGCCAACAACCGTTGTGTTTCTTGACATTAGAGCTGCCTTCGATTGGTTAGACAGAGCTGTACTCTGGAATTATCTCTTTGAAAAGATGGTGCCTAATAAATCCCGTAACATCTTGAAATCCCTATATAATAGCACTTCAGATAGAGTGGAGGCATACCACCATTTGTTCCATTGTTCCAAACCAGCAGTGAGGTTAGGAAGGGTTGCCCAATGTCCTTATTCCTCTTCGACTTTGCCATTGGTGACATTCTTGAGACAGCCCTGAAGGAGATGCGTCATGGTGATGTAGATCTACTACCCGAAAAACGGCTATTCGACCTTGAATATGCGGACCATATCGTCTTGCTGTGAGATAACAAACAGGCTGCTCAAGTCACACTTGATCGGTTGAGTCTGTATGGTATGTGCTTTGCACGGTTAAAGTGCAAAGTACTCTCTCAAGATTGGCAGGAGCCTGTGCCTGCGTTCACCCCTAGTGGTGAGCCGTTGGAAATAGTCGACAAGTTCGTGTACCTGGGTAGTTGTATGAGTGCTGGTGGAGGTGTGTGGCTAAATTTCCAACGGAATATCGAAAACCAGAGTGACATAAGTCAATATGGGCCACATTTGGCACCGTCGTGACGTTAATTCGGCCTTAAAAGGTTGGGTTTACAACGCTTCGGTGCAAGCAGTTCTGCTCTACCTCTGTGAAACCTGGCCTTTCCAAGCTGAGGATATGCGACTGTTGCGATGCCCCAGTCTTGTATAAAACATTGTTATTGATCTGAACATTTTAACGTGTCATTCCCACATTATTTTTACGGTATGACTAATAGTCTGTTTCTGCCCCCATTGTAATATAATTTGCTGATTGGTTAACTTTTACTCTTACTATGCGAATTTCTCCAATTGCGTACAAGGTCATTTTTCATGTGTATACTTATTCACGTGTTTTGGATTGATTCATTGTTATCATATTTTCGGAGTAATACATTCTCCCATCTGCCAGCTTCGGTCTTCTCTCTATTCGTCCCGGGGTTGCAGTCAGTGTCTCTTGCGTATCAAGTTAGCTGTCAGCTAAGCGCGCGTATTATATTCGTTTCGGAATATAAACACATACCATTAGCACTTCGAAACCATAACAGCGACGACTCTGTGTGTTCGATCATCTTTGTCTCCGTAGGATTGCTCGTATCCAGTAGCAACACCATGTAAGCAATTCTGAGGTACGACAGCATGTTTGGGCATGGTAGAGATTGTCATTCAATAAGTGAAGTCATCTGGAAACACCGGCTTCGGTGGCTTGGACATGTGTTACACATGTCGTCCTAACGGCTTTCATACCGTTCATTGTTTGCTAACCCTAGGACCAGATGGAAGAACTGGAGGGGTGGTCAGTGTATGACGTGACACCGTGGGATAAAGAATAGTTGTGTCGGGTTAGCATCTGTTGGTGCATCACGACTCTCTAGGTGGGGTCTAAGAAATCACACAACTCAGTGGCTTGAGACGTCATCAGATATGGTCCAGAATCAAAACCACTGGCGGTCATGCTGTAGCTCCTGTTGCTGAAAAGTAGTGAATGTACCTTACTGGACTGCCCCTTTAATCATTCTATTCTTATCGTTTTATTTCTATCCACTTCCTTTAGCTTTTTCTCCACGATAGTGTGATATTATTTTGTGCGGTGCATTTCTTGGTACCCTTGCTGTACCATGTTTGTGTTTTAATAACAATAATAACAATAGTAATATTAATGATAACAATAATAATAATTAAAAAATGATAATTTCAGCCGGCCCTGACTTCAAATGGAAAGGACAAATATTTATTTAGCTGTCACTTAGGAAAAAAATGACTAGTAAAGAACCAAGCTTAGATTTAAAGAATACGCCTGAGCTTAGAATATGAATGTTTGGGAAAAGGTATCCGCATCTCAAATGACAAAGAATACTCACAACTGTAGACTTCATAAGTTCAGGCCGGTGATGAATATGTAACGGATGAACTTTGACAGACAACGAAACAACAAACCCTGAAATAGGCATTGCTTCAAAATGAAGCATCACACAACAATGTGTTCAAAGGTACTGGTTATATCCTTAGCATTAAATTTCAGCTACTTCCATCTTAAATACCTAGTGTCACCAGTAAGACGGTAACATAGTCCGGAAGATTAAAGCCAGCAAATCTCGGTAGCTTCACTCAATCACATGTTGTGAGAAAAGGAGACTCACCTGTTTGCACGCAGAATTAGAACCGAAAGCGGCAAAAACTTAAATTTAGGTTAGTGTCTAGTCTAGAAATAGGGAGTGAAGTGGCTAAGCGTGTTGACCAAAACTGTAGACCTAACGCCAGCTGTTTATAAATCCATTTTTTACATACGAAAGGGAGCTGTCTGCCCTGGATGGTGGATAAGGTCCCTATAGGTGTTTTACGAAAGATGTATGGTAGCTCTTTGCACCGTCTGGTCTTCGTTTCCTCATCAAAAACTTCGCTTTGCTAATGAGGTACGTCAACAGCTGCTGTCTAAATTAAAATTTCGAATAACCACATGCTCTAAGCTAAAGTGATAACCCAGCCAAACGTAAGGTTTTGTAATAGTTTATCACTGAAAAAGAATTCTGGTATTTTATACTAGTGAAGGGTCTACTCGGACATACACGGCATTTAAAGGCTAATGACGAACCACTGTTTGATATGTCATGTATTTGAACAAAATATTTGCTTAATTCTTACACAAGATAGTAACTTTGACTTTGTAATAATTGCTTTGAATCCCACAGATCTCTTTATTGATTCTGAATAAGCAGAAACAAGTCATTTTGCACGATGCTGACAAAGTACTCTTCTGGGCCTAATAACCAAACGAAAGGTGCTTTTGCGGACAGATCAATACGAAACGTCACATAAACCATAAGTTGACGATCATTTAAAATCTATTAAGAGCAGAGGAATCCACTAGGCCTCCACCAACTCCAAATTGACTAGGCTACCCTGTGTTAGTATGCACAAGACCGAGACAATGTGAGGATTGTTATACTATCCCGTCACCTAGGGTGAAGTATGTAGAGTTAAGTCTATACGCAAAATTTATAGCGTAAAGGAGGAGTGGTGAAACCGACACGACTAAAAAAGCTTGAGACTCAGGCGAATATTTTTATAGTTAAGGGCAGTAGTGCGCTCTGCTTTATTATACAAATCTAGAACATTGTTATGGAATTTCGATGGAAGTTTGCATGTATTCGACCACCAAAGTGTAGTAGGATAATCAAATCAATAATGATTGTATTAAGAGCAAAAGTAATTAAATTAAATATGTGATTGTGTGGTAGATGTTCACTGAATGAGATAGTCCAGAAATATGTTGAGCATATAAAGCCACTGATCACATTCACAGACTACCCAAACAATAGGATCAGAGCCTAGTTGCAAGACAGATGGCAATAATCTATGAACTAATAACCAGTTTGATTACGGATGAAATTGGTAGGAGTGGCGCAGACGCATCATCATGATTGTTATTTTTTCCACCGGAACTTATTTCGTCATTTCTTATCCGCGTTTAGCTACCATTGTTATTATCACTTTAGTTACTTTGATTGCACTTTTTTGATTTCACAATGCTGCGCTGTTGCCTAGTGTAGTGGTTTGACCCAATATTCAGTCATTATATTGTTCTAGTCATCTGATAAGAAGCCTCAAAGGTATGCTTCTAATGTCTATTAGATCATGAATGTATGACAACTTACTAGTTTACACCATATTTCTGAAGTTTTTCAGATAGCTTTCTGATAGGAGTACAGTATATACGTAAAAGGTAATTAGCAACTCCCCTACATTTATTGTGAATCAAAGTGTGTTCAAGACTCGTTATTTTGCGCGTATAATGTAGATATGAACTGAGCTTTTCAAAAATGAAAAAAAATGCAGCACATGGTTTGTTGAAACACAAGATTGATGACTATATTCTGAGAGATCAAGTTCTAAGCATTATAAGGGCGAAACTGATTATTTTCGACATCCCAGTCTCATAGACCAGTTGGTAGAGAGCCAGACTGGTAACCCGGGTCCTGCTGGTTTCAATCCTGATACAACCATGGTGTTTATTCCACCTTCAACTATCAACTGATATAAATGATACCGATTCGACAAACCTTAGTTTTTGTGGATTAAAAGACAGAAAACATAAAATTGGAGACCGAGATAGAAATAAACTGACCAAGTCTTGGTAAAATGAGAAATGCATGTTTTTCCGTCACAGTGGATAACCTTCCATCACCCTAATCTGAAAAAGAATCGAGATACCGAATCAATTCGCTAAAGGATATCTGCTCGTGTGAAATTATAAGATATATTTCACATGATGGATGGTATTCGCTATGGTCAGCTCATTTGATTTCTGTCGCAATTTATCAGCCTGTTTTGTTCATACTCCATGTATTTAACTCCCGGGTAGAAATCTAGTTATCGATCTTAAGCGGGCATATAAAAGGCGTTATCAGGTGAAGCTAACAAAATTGAGTGACAATTCATCGACATGAAGGCTTGTGTCAAGCTTAACAAATCCAGGTGTTCTAGGTTTAACCTAATGTCCAGAGTAAGCAGTGAATTATTCCATCTTTTAGAGTTGTCAGACACCCAAGGCTCTCACCATAAATCTGCAGCTATCGCTTTCTATTATTATCTGCAGCGGAGGAATATTCGACACCTATATTGGAGCTGAGTCTGCAGTGAAGTGCTATGGAACGTAGTGACCACAGATATCCAGTACCAAGTAGTTTTAATGATGTACACGTGTCCCATAGTAATTCCATTCATTCAAATCTGAAACACTTAGAGTGGAAGGTTGATTTGTGGCGCTCTCATCTCCGATTTGCCACTGAGACCATTCTGTCCCAAACAATCCTTCTGATATTCATTGTTTCATATGCATTGGAACTTCAGTCATTATTGAGGGCGGTAATTTAAGCATCACATTTATTCCAATAGGCTATGCCTCAGAACACAAACGTTGGTCAACAATTTTATATTTATGATGCATTAACTCGGATTCTGTTTCAACTTGTGTCAACACAATGAGACTTTTATTGTTTCTAAGCTTACCAAAGGTAAAAAAGAGATAATAAACCAACAATCTATCAAATTTGCTAGTGATTGACCTACCGCTAAGAGTCCTATGCATAATTTACACCTCAATACCCAAATATCGCCGCATCAGTCACTCAAGGACGAGAAAATTGAAGTAACCGCAACAGCTGATCCCTGTTTGAACTCTGACTTGGGAACACAAACATAGTCCCAATGAACATTTGGCCTAGTATTGAATTCGGAAACTTATGCACTACATTTCTGAAGTCAGAAAGCAGATTGACCTATCTCCCCTTCATACTAAGAATGCTTCGACTGATGATTCTGAACTTATGAAGGCGTTTAATGTTGACAAAGTGTAACGCTTAAACAGTATCGAATTATTTCTTGACATCTTTAGCTCACATTTTCAAACCAGATGAATTCAAAACATCAGGCGTAACGTGAATTCATGGTATTATCTATGCTGTCTATTTCATAATCATGTTACATCGCATATGTTTAGTCCTTAAGTAAGTGATACCTACGCACTTCTCAAAGCCGCACTACATAAGAAGAGTTATCTCACAGATCGCCGGGGCCTAGACGACTTGTTTCGTTACGTCGAACTAGGTACTATCTCAGCCACTGAGGTCCTCACACGCATGCGAGAAGTTATGAGCACACGAACGTCCAATAATGACCTTTTCTGACCGTTTCTCTCAAAACTGCACAGCCGGCGTAGACCGTGTTGGTGACAACTCAGTCAGTTACACTAGATGACCTGGCAGCCTTAGCAGACGAAACACTGTAGATTTCCAGTAGACCCATCCCCAAAGTATATTAGGTCTGCGATAAACCTGAGAGCCAGGACTCGGAAGCAACCAAGCAGTGCAACTCTATTAAACATTTGCTGTGAAGTCGAGGCCCAAGGTTACGTGGCACATCACAGAAACGCATCTCAGCCAATCGCAGCGGCTCACGTGATTATCCAAAAGCTAAACCTAACCGGGTGGAAAACCCTAAATGGTGCTGGTTTCACAATACCTACGGGGGGCAAGGCCAGAAGATCTCGGAGGCCATGTGGTTTCAACGCGGATACAAGCTCGGGAAACGGTCACACCAACACGCGGTCACGGCAACCGTAGCCGGTGGAAATAGCCGTTTGCTCTGCTTCACAGATGTAAAGGCGAAAGCTCGGCACCTAGTCGACACTGGTGCAGAAGTTAGTGTTCTCGCAGAACCGATGAAGGAGCGTCATCATGACTCATCTTTCAATCTCCGAGCAGCTAATGGCAGGGCTATTGCAACATTTGGGAGACGGTATACCTTCCTCAACTCGGGTTTCCGTAAGCCTAGTCACTTGATTTTCCTCCTGGCTGACGTTTCCATGCCTATTATTGGCACAGATTTGCTAAACACTTACGACCTACTCTTAGATGCTCGTCGCCGACGACTGATAGATAACAACATGAAATTATCCACTAGCGCCATCTACGTAGGTCTGGTTTGGCCATCATCAGAACTAAGCAGTCAGGCAGTGTGTCCTGACACTGACAGGCAGTGTTAGGTAAACATACAGAGTTACGACAACCGAAGCATACTCTTCCGTGCACAACCAGCAATGTTATGCATCAGGTCACAACCACAGGCCCGCCTGTGGCATCCAAAGCACGCCATCTAGCCCCTGATAAGCTGAAAACTTCGAAGAGTGAATTCGGCCACGTGCTGGAACCGGGCATTATCAAAACTTCAAGTAATCCCTTGGCATCACCGTTGCAAATGGTTCCCGGAAAGAATAGCAACGGCTGGCGCCCAACTGGTGATTACCGAAGGCCTAACGCCAAAACAACACCGGGCTGCTGCCCATTGACAGACAAAGTGACGGCTATCATAAACTATCCACAACCGACCACTGTGAAGCGGCTCTGCACTTTAGATGGCCCGGTGAGTTATTACCGAATATTTGTCCCTAACTTTGCCTCTGTAATGTCGACGCAACGTCTTCAATGCGTTGCACAAACTGTCCCATCCAGGTGCACAAGCCACCACCTGGCCTATTGCACAACGTTTTTGCTCGCCAGGCATGAACAAAGACATCAAGGAGTGGGCCCGGCCGCACTTAGCTTGTCAGAAGTGAAAAGTCACGCGACACACGAAAAGCCCTATAGGTTCTCTACTAGCCCCAGAGATGCGTCTTGACCACGTTCATATTAACATCGTGGGACCCCTGCAAGAATCTAGTGGATGTGCTTGCCTTTTCGCCGGCGTGAATCGTTTTACGCGATGGCCAGAAGCAATACTTATTAAATACATTGCTGACGAAACTGTCACTCGTGTTTTTGCTGAAAGATGGATCATGAACTTTGGATGTCCGTCTCACGTCCAACCGGCCGTGGGCGCCATTCGCATGTGGATTATTTCACGCTTTAACTTCACTTTTGGGTGGCACTCGGTTCCGAACGACAGCCTGCCATCCACAAGCGAATGGCATGGTAGAGCGTTTCCATCAACAGCTGAAAGCTTCCCTTTCGGCTGCAAACATACCTCAGTGGACCGAGGCTCTGCCTCCAGTCGTACTAGGTAGGCACCACATGTGGTCATTCATCATGACGCCGTTCGTCGACCACTCGAATCACCTTACCATGGACCGTCCAGAGTGATCAAGCGGCACGAGAAATTCTATATGATTGGGCGAAACGGATGCGAAGATACCGTTAGTGTCAATTGTTTGAAACCAGCTTATTCCGAAGGGAACTTCATCACAAGTGACGTCTGAGCCCACTATGGCCGACTGGTGGATGGCCAAGTTATCGAAATTTTTGGCGACTTGCGTGTCAGTACACTGGCACAACAACCACCGGGGTAGCAAGCAACACGGTCGGATCGAACCGTCAGGTTCCCGGAGTACTTAAAGTCACAGTCAACTAAGCAGTGTGAGATAAGGTGTGCCAGCCATTTTTAACTCGAAATTATTTTTTTCGCTGCACCATTTTTTTGTTTGCTGGGAGTGCAAAAACCCCCCTACAACTTACCTTTTTAAATCAATTTTTCCTACCATACAGTGAAGCTTTTAAAAAAGGAATGGGAATAAGCATAAAATCTATCCTCGACATGTTTTTGTATAAATGTTTCCCGCTTTCGCGAAACGCTTCCGTGGTATTAAAGACTTTTATTTATATTCCAGGTACAGCGAGCACTGAACAAAACGTTAGAGGACACTGACGATCGCGATCAACGTACAATTCGATTTGTTGCATTTTATTTTTTCATTCGCCACGACACCCTAGAATAAGTTCAGGTAACCAAGGGTCACTTCTCTCAGTGAGCCCATCAGAAGAGTTTTACCGGTGGGGAAACCACTGGGTTTTTACTTCCGGCTAGCATTGTCTTAGGGTCTTCACGAACCCACTAAGGGGGAGGGATTTGTAGTGCCACACGCTTCTCTAGAGTCGACAGCCTAGGGCTCGACGAGATTCAACATTGATGCCTGTCCCGATAATTTAACTGGACTCACTGACCTGAAAGCAGCCAGTCAAGAACCCCCGCCATTTGGCACGCTGCCGTATTACGTTGCACTGCCCGCAATCTACCCTATATCCAGTTAATTGGAACGCATCAGTGCCTTGCAAATATACTGCTCCATCTGACTGCGCTATTGTGTTTTCTCTTGGTCCTGTATTCGTGGGTATGTAACAAGTTCGAATAATTAGCGGTTGGCCCTTGCATCTGTCAAGTTCGCACCAGGACCACTCCTAAAATATGATATTGGTATACATATTATCGGTCAAGAAGCCTGAGTACCGTTACCTGGGGTATTCAGCGTTGTCATTTTGGTGTATCGCATCGCCCCCAATCCCATCGAATGTAACAAATCGTTTTTCAAGTAAAGCCTCAAGTGTAATCCAGGGATATATCCATTGGTGTTTGGTTGTGGAAAGGTTCATACAAAATTCGTTTTACTCCTCTTGCAGTAATAATATGCCGGTCATAGTTTCGTTCCTGAAGGTGTTATTGACCGTGCTGTCATCCTTCGAATGGAAGTCGCATATTTACATTGAAACCAGTGGGAATGAAGCAGTCTGACGGTGGTGAATTCTCCACCTAGGAAAATCTCAGTACCATGGCTTTCTGACGCTCCGCCGGTGCACATTTGCCCACAGTGCCGTCTGGGACCACACCTAGCTTCAGCCTTACTTAGATTAACCAATAAATCCTGATTAACCAGAGAGCAGGTATCCGTCCAAACCACTGTCACAGAGGAGATTCACTCCCCAGAGGATTTCGGCAATGGCCTACACAAGGTCAAAATCCTGAGAGGTTCTAAGCCGGACAAAAAAAGCTCGAATCGTCCGTGACAACGCAACTATAGGATCGGATAGTGTTGGCATCACTGACCGATCTAGCTCTGTCATTCTGTTTAACGTTCCTGCCTGCAATGATGACCTTCTGGGGCATAGGGACAGGTTTGGCAGGCTGCAGTGTCATGCTAGGTCTGGGCGCTCTCGAGGCGAAATTGTGTCGACTGTACAAAGACACTCACTCACTTGCAGGGAAGCCTCCGCCGACGAGAGTGACTCTGGGCTCAGCTACAGACGCTGAAAAGTTCCTCTTACCGTCACACACCCTGGTAGTTAACAGATCGTCTAACATTACTGTTGGACCTGACCAATACCCATGACGTCCGACAAGGGGAGTGGTTATCGATTCGGGTAGAGCTGAGTGGGACTGCAGCTGCGGCAATCAGCAGACTGCCACGTCCCCCGCATCTGACAACCATGACCTCACCTAGACTAGCGGCGTCAACTTCGAACCCCTAGGAGCACTCACCAGATTGCTAGAGCTATGGTACAAAGTTGAGATCGCTATAAGCGCAAGTTCCACTGGATCTGGCCAGTCAGTAGAAACCTTCACATCCAAAGCTGTGCCCCCGGTTGGCCCAGAGACATCTCACATTACGAGAAGCACCCCTAAGTGTCTTTACCGCAGAGCCGGGGGGGGCTCCACGGTAAAATGTCGGGGCTCCGATCTCTTTGTTTCGACCTTGTCCCGAAAATCATGATCCCGACAGAAACATGGCTATCACCGGACATAAGTGACACCGAAGTTAACATAGACGACATGATTTTGTTCGGAAGAGGCAGAGAACATGGGGAGGGAGGGGGGGTTGCAATATACGTGAACATTTGTAGTATAATTGTTTTCATATGATACGGTCATTGCTCGGACCGAATTGATCGGTCTGTATCGGCATATGGGCTTCTGTGAGGACGCCTGCGTTCTAACTATATTAATGAGGGATCGTGGCTAGCAGTGAAATTCAGGATGCTACAAGTTCCAATTACCCAGGCGACACCTCAAAAGCAAATGCTGTGCTACACTTTGTGTGTAGACAACTAGGTGCCCTCACACCAGAGCTCTTTCTGAAGCTCTACAAGACTTACATGTGACCCCACTCAAAGGTCCATAACGTCTTCGCTCCACCACAGCTGAAAAGTGGCACTAACCTACTGGAGAAAGTCGGGAGGCAAGCCACGAAAGGGGTTGTTGGGATGCAAAGAAAACCATATGAGGACAAACTGAAAGACTTAGGCCTATGCCCTCTTAACTACCGAAGGTTACTAGGTGACTTGACGATGGCTTAAAAAGTACTGAATAACCCAAGTCACCCAAACAGAGGAATACTGCCGAGTGGCCACTATAGAGATCCTCGAGGAGACCCTAAGAGAATGGCCCAACGCCAAATGTGACCTCTAGCCAAATGTGATTTACTTTATTATTTCCTTTAGAACCTTCATAAGAAGAACATGAACAACGCTGTTACAAGTTTCTACCCCTAATACCTCAGAAACAGATTTTAAAGAATCATCAGCTCTCTACTTTCTCAGCATGCAGTTCGAAGACCGATAGTTGTGGCGCATTTTCAATAGGACGACGAGAGTAATCTACGCGGATAGTTCAAAATGTCTGGCGTCAATGCACCATCGGGCGGTGTTAGGCAGCCACAGACCATCCTAGTGAGTTTCTGATATGAATTTTCAATGTTCTAAATATCAAGAATTATTGTGTTTGTAGTGGTTATTTTATGCATGATGGGTTTTAGTTCAGTGTTTCTGTGCTTCGGTGGACATCCACTGAATCTGAACTTTGTGATTCAGATTTGTTTTTCGAGGATAGGAGGCTATGATCCCATATTAATCCTTTCTAGTGGATTTCTGTGCTTGTTCTATTTCCGTTTGAATGGCTCAATTAGTGATGCGGACACCACTTCTTCTGGGAGTCGGTTCAAAGAGTTAGATTACTCGATGCGAGAAATGGTATTCTACGGAGGCTATGTTCTTTGCTTTTGTAGCCTCCTACTATTTCCTCTGAGGAGTTCCGATCTAGAGGGAAGAAAAAGAAGTTAGATCAGGTTCAAAGTCATTTATTAGAATCCTGAATAGCATGATTTGGTTTCCCATTTGTCTGCGATAGCATAAAGTGAAGAGGTTCCTAAAACTCCGAGCTACTACCAGTCAACAGTGAGTCGTGGTTTTCAAGTCGTAACTTACTGTGACTCCCATGTCATTGTGGGTCAGTACTGATGGTGGGGGAGTCCAATCAGTATCGCAAGTGTTACCATCTGTATTCTCCAAGTGCATACTCACAAATTTACCTGCGTTGATAGGCATCAGTCACTTCTCTTATCAGGTGAACAAGTGGTTTAGGTCTGCCTGAAGTGGACATATTATTCCGTCGTTTTTAATTTCCCGCTAGATTTTTACATTAGCATAGAGAACCATAGTGGATTTCGTAATATTTGGCAGTTTATTTACGTATAGGAGAAATAGCTGGGGATCCAGGACTGTGCCTTGCTTCACTGTACTCCCTCCAGACTCCCAAGAGGATAGTTGAGAATTGGTCCTTACTCTTTGTCTCCTTCCAACAAGGAACTCTCTTATCCATGCAAGCAGACTGCTGCTGATTCCAAAACTTTTCAGTTTCACGAGCAACTTGGGATGAGGTACCTTGTCGAACGCCTTAACATAGCCTATGAAAATGACATTTACAGGTATCCTATCATCTTTAGACTTAACCCAACTTTCTTTGATTGAAAGGAGGTTTGTCAAGCAAGAGAAATTTCTACAAAAGCCATGCTATGAACGAGACAGTAGGGTGTTGCCCTCTAAGTGGATTTCGATTACCTTGATTACTCTTTCTAAGATTTTTACTACGGTACTAGTCAAGCTTATCGGTCAGTTATTTGATGAGAGCTGCCTAATACCTGCCTGGTGAATAGGTATTAGTATGGCATCCTTCCAATCATAGGGGAGTGTGCCTTCACTGAGAGACAGTCTAAATATAGTAGTCAATGGGTCGGCTACACAGGGTGCAAGCCTGCTGAGTAGCTTTGGGTGGAGCCCACTCAGTCCCGTTGATTTTTAGCCGTCGAGATTACCTAATATCCGAAAAACATTAATGTGACCAATATCCACAGAGTTTATTCTGTTGGATGTGTAATGCTTCAATTGTTGGGTGTGTCCACAGGAGATTCCTGTGTGAAAACCTCAACAAAATATCCAGTCATGGCTTCTGCTTTTTCCGTATCGTCCTCAACCAAAAAGTTTCGCTCCCTTTGATTAGGGCGGGCATACCGCGATACATCTAATTTCTGTAATTCATATAGGAAAATGACCTCTTCGGATGTTGCAATGCAGCCTGGGCAAGACGTATTTCGAAGCATATTGGAGACCGGTGGATAGAAGTGATACATTTATTTCGGGCTTCTTTGTAATGCTTCACCACTTCGGGTGTACCTGAGGTGGGTGGCAAGACTCCAACACTTTTTCTTACGTTTTGGTAAGAATCGGATTTCGTGGTTTTTCTACGAAGGACAATGTTTCCATCCCCTCGGACCAGTCCACGGAATAAAAGGTTGAGTCACCCCTGCATATAACTATTTGAAGGGGCACCATGCAGCTTCGACAGGCTTCTGAATTGATTGTCCAGTCCTCCGAAGAGGCTACCAGGTTAATGGCTTCCATATTTGCCTAACATATGTTGGGTCTAGCTGGGGCATCGGCCTGATACAAGACGTCTGTAGTGAATCTGAAGATGATAACAGCTTGATCACTTTTACCAAGGGGGCTGGGTGCCCGATGAAGCATACATCGTTTTTGTGAGAATACTAAGTCTAGAACTGATGGAGCATGCTCTTGATCATATCTGGTTGCTGTCCTTATGTGCTGTGTGAGGGCTAGGGAAATTTATGTTCTCCACTAACCTGTGACCAAACAAATTACGTGGTCCTTTTGTTGTTAGCCGATCCCAGTCAACTGATGTCGCTTTGTTCTCCTACAACTATGCATCGGCATTTATCTGTCCAGAGGGTCGGCTTATTCAGGAGGACTTCTGCTGCCTCACATTCAGGGCTTCGATATACTACGATTACGTTAACATCTTGTCCCTTGGATTTTAGTTGAGAGCGCAGCATTTCACATGTCCCACTTTCATGTGCAGCCGTTTCTATGGCTTTTGTAGTTGAGGTATTCTTAACGTGCTAACCTATCACTTCTCAAAGGAACGAATCCTCGTGTGTTTCCCAGTCCCTGATCCAAGAAGAGAGCCAAGTTTCTGAGATAGCAATGATGTCAGGGCTTTCGTTGCTTATCACATTACTAAGCTCATTCCACTTGTTTAAGAGACTACGTGCATTTGTGTACAAGACGATGAAACTACTTGCAGAAGTTTCCGTCCTATCCATAGAGGCCTCGACATCATTTGTTGCTGAAACCTCACTACACGAAAACTCGCTACTTTTAGATCTTGCTCTCCTGCTACTGATCTGGATTTTAGTTCTTCTTCCGCTTCTCGTTTTTTGATGCTGTCATCAAAAGCATTCTTCAGAATATGATTGCTCTCCTCTGTTGATTTGAACACAACTTTAAGTAGTCGAAACTTGTCAGTAAGGAGTCTCCTTTTTACCTACTCTCTATATATTTTAAGTAGGGTGACTCCTGGTATGTTTTCCGGTAAAAGCTGGTTTATCAAACTTTGTGCCTTGCCAAGATAATTTTCGAAACGTTTACGTGGCTCTCGGTCTCTACTTTCTTCCACTCTAGATTACAAACCTATCAAGAAGCTCTACTTTATCTTTGGTTTGTGGAGTGACGACAGTTGGTTCGATGACCGTTGCTGGCTTCCTGGCATGGCTCTTAGACTTAATTACTTGCCATTTCTCAGAGTCGCGTATACAAAACTTATCAAAGCCTAGTCCAGTGACCTTGACGCTGACAGTCTCAGAAGGGACTTGCGTCCCATTTTGTCTAGTTTTCTTCATTGATTGGATGGCCGAACTGGGTATGAACTGCGGCCGGCATGGTTCCGTGGTTGGCAATGAGTGCTTCACTTTTGTTTCTTCCGTCAGAGGCCACTTGATGCTTGTTCGTAATCTCTCGCGCACCCATCAACTTCGGATGATACAAAGGATGATTTTTATGAAAAGCTGTCATTTTTGTTGTAGGAAAGCGAAACGTTCAGATGTAGTCATAATGACAGGCGACTTTAACGCTGAAGTAGGGACGCTGGGGGAATCGGAAAGGCACCTTGTGGGTATTTACAGAATCCCATGCCAACGAACTGACAATGGTGATCGTTTGTCACTATTTCACTCTAACAATCACTCCCACTCCCACATGGTGTCCGTCGACTTCAAACCAACGAGGGACACATACATCACGTTGCTATAAGCCATAGTTGGAGAGGATCAGTGAAGGACTACTGCTCTTTCTGGAGTGCCAGTTTGGACTCCAATCACGCACTCGTATAGGCCGGTGTATGTCTGCGCCTTCCTGGTCTCAGTAGAGCTGTGGCCCATTGGTTTAAGGAGATGGCTTTCAGTTAGTCGGTCACGGGTTCGAACACCGCTTCATCTAACGTGGTTTCGACGGTCAGGCAGTATCTTTGGTCATCACATATTAGATGTAGCTCATTGCCTACTGCACAAATGTACACAAAGTTGCTAAGTGCGTTTTGATTTCCGACTGGTCGCAGAAAACAGGCGATAGTAAGGCCTTTTTTGTGGTCGATTTAAAGGTGGGGACGCTAAGTACGTACTTAGCTAAGGATACATCTGAACATGACAGCAATGCCCATCCTGAGGAAACCTGGCATGATAATAAATCTGTTGTAGTAACAGCAGTGAAAACAGTTAGTAACGTAAACCCGAAGGTTAGCAGGTGTCACTGAATTTCCGCGACGTCATTAAAACTGTTTGATCCGAGCAGACTGATTCCAGCTGATTTTGACCACGATGAAAAGCAGAAGCAACTTGAACGTAAATTGACCAAGTCTTCGCAACGGTCGCTGGCAAGAGCAAGAGTGGTGTGGAGGGCATCACGGTTGGATAATACTCGGGGACTGTCTAATCTTATCAAGGATACCGGCAAAGAAAAGATGATGGTGAGTGAAATCATCACTGGAAAGGATGGGACGCTGATAACATCCCGGGACAGGAGGGTAGAACGTTGGGCAGAACTCTGCAGAGCACAATTAAACTGGCCCTCAGCAACTCTCAAGTTGCCCCACATCCAGCCTGAACCTGAATGGGACGTAGATGTCGGACCCCCCAACTCACCTTGAGGTTGAAATGGCTGTGTCGAACCTGAAACAGTTCAAACCAGCGGGACCTGATAGTTTGCCACCCAAAGTCTTTGAGTATAAAGGTAAGGAATCGCTAAGGTGACAGAAGTACTAGGTATTGTATAGGAACCAGAGGTAGTGCCATCAGACTTGTCTACTTCTCTAGTTATCTCTGCCTATAAGAAGGGACAATCATCGGGGAACTAGTTTGACTAACATTGTGTCCGTGATCCTAGGATCCATAGTTATCCAAGGCCCAGTTAGAGCCCAGGAAAACCAGGCAGGTTTCAGACCTAGACGAGGGTGCATCAATCATATTTCTATCCTCCGACAGGTCCTGGAACACAAGCGTGCTTAACGGTCCCGACACGCCATATTTCTCGACCTGAGGGTGGCATTTGATTCTGTTGACCGTGAGGTGTTCTGGCAGTGTCTGACCTTGAAGGGAGTATTTAGCAAGTACATAATGCTTATCAAGGCTCTCCACTCAAACTCACACAACCGTATAATTGCATATAGAGAGTTGTCATCAGAATTGACGACAACTACAGATGTCCGCCAGGGATGCCCACTGTCACCATTTCTATTTAACTTCGTTGTAGACGTATTAATGGACATAACCTTAGGTGCACTTGACTTCAAACGCATTGATTTTCTTGTAGGCCATCTAGTTGACTTGGAGTATCCAGACATTATCGTCCTCCCAGATGAAGACGCTGACAAAATGCAGGGTCTTGTGAACCCGTTGAGCAGAAATCTGAGTATCTCTGGCATGCGTTTTGCTTGCACCTGTTAAATGAAAAATGATGCTCCGGGACTGGTGTTCAACCACTCCCAATTTATTGATAGGGAGTGGAATGTGTTGACCACTTCACTATCATAGGGAGTTGCGTCAGCCCGAACTGGGCAGTTGGTAAGGATATTTCAACCTGGATAAAGAAGGCGGGTTTAGTATTTGCCAACTAGCGTCATCTGTAACCCCGGCGAAATATCCGACTACTTATCAGAGGGTGAGTATACTGCACTGCAGTTCGTTCTGTCCTGAGGCGACCGTTGAAAGTAGAATACATAAAGCGGTTATTAGGTTTTGATCACAGATTTCTTCGCAGTATTGCTCGCATTTGTTGGAGTCATTGTGCGATCAGTGTTGAGGTCAGACGAAGTGTGCTAGGCAAGAAAAGCAAGTTACTCAGTGGAGTAGTGAACCTTCATCTATTAGAGTGGCTGAGAATGCACAGGAAATGTCCAAGCCACCGCCTGCTATGACGTTTAGTGCTAGGAGAAGTTGGATTGGTTTAGAATAGGCTTCAGGATGGCCAAGCTGATTATGTTTCATAGCAGTTCTGTGTCCTCTGTGGCAACAAAACTACTTTATTTGCCTACTCCAGACCGGTCAGAACATCATTGGTCAGAGAATTAACGCATGAGATTTTGGAGATCAACACGTAGCTGCATCAATATATATTTCACAAAGTATATTAGGAATGGGGACTAGCGGATACTGTGGTTACATAAAACAGATTTCCTTAACCATTTAATTGACTTTCTGAATGCTAATTGAGAGCCTTGAGTGACACAACACTTTTTGGTCACCCTTTAACATCAAACCCTACCAAAAGCTATTGAATCGTCACAGTTCAATACTGTCCCTATGTAAAAAGAATGATAGATGTAAATTCCGTGTTAATTTAGCGGCATTTCAAAACCTGCTAAGATGCAGGTAAAGATGTACTCAGCAGTTAAGTCACGTTCGTGCACTAGGCAGTAGATCACTCCTATTGTACAAGGGCTAATGACGCCACCTGGCTGTCTGTACATTGGTAGACAGAGCGAAACCCAAACCCGTGACCCATTGGATGGAAGTCCAGATCCTGATGTCCGAAAACGTGAACCTTGAACTCAACAATCACGTGCAGGTCCCTGAACTGGCATGTTGTATGAAAAATAACTGTAATGCATACGCAGACCTCATTTTAGTGAAATGGGGGGAGTTGATCACCCTGAACCATTAGTCTTAGTTTCTTCTTGTTTTCTTCGGAAATAATTATAACGGCGTTGGTGACAAATCTTCTCAGATCTATTTTCATTTGCCTCAGATGATCTTTGAGTACTATTAGGACTGAGGGTAAAGTCCATGACCTTCTGATCAGCGCAAATCAATACAAAGTAATTATAACATCACACTGTTCTTCAATATTCCCCCTTTGCTATTTCGGTTACGAGTGACTGAATTTCACAGAAGATAAGGCAGTTGTATTGGTTACAATTTGTTTTACCGGGTATGAATTTTCAAAGTTTACATTATCGTTATCATCTTGGTACTATTTACTTAGGGGAAAGTGATACGTTTTGACCTAATTTGTGGTTTTACTTTGTTATTTTCTGAAAGCAGATCTCCGTACTTAATGGTTTCAACATGAACTGTTAATATTTCACTGATAAAAAGTTGTCTAGTGTTCTTTATCTCGTCATCCTACACACACCCAACACTGTACCTTTACGTATTTTTGTTTGACTCTTGGGCATGATTTTGAAACTTGTTTTCTATTTCTACAGGGTCGCCTAAAGTCGGATTACGTCAATACCGCTTTGTACCTAGCTCGTTTGGGAACAATTTTCTGTTGCATCATGTTCTTCTTTGCACCGTTTTTCTCCCGTCTTCATCCATCTGATCTAGAAGTTTGGTATCGCAGAGCGTTACTGGCAAGTGCGGCTACATCAGCTTTGCGTTTGCATCAACGAATGAAAAGTTTGAACACAAGATTTTCTCGAGAAGTCTTAGAAGTCTTGATTGCTGAAGACTCCTCTCATTATTTACTTTACTCCATAATGTTTGCTATATTGCCACCAGTTACAGGTATCATTGTCGTTTTGTTTTGTGTGAAAAGTGTATTTCCTAGTGCGATTTCTCCTTGATGCTTGTATATTTGTGTAATAGTCGGAAAAAGGGTGTAGATACTAACTATCAGTTTATGAGCTGGTACTCTCCAACCAACATAAAAAAAATCGAACATTGATATTGCACCTGTAGGCCTTGTTTAGTTTGTATAGATTTAAATAGTTGGCTGTTAAGTTAACGTACATACAAACCACAATGATGGGCGACGGGAACAAGAAATAACCAAGGAATAAACCAGACAAATTCCGCTTGGCAGATCAGTTAGAAAGAAAACAATCTATCAGCCATTCTTCAATTTTATGGCGTAGTAGGGATTGTTCTAATAAGTAATCATGAAACAAATACTAGTTTCACTTCCTTATGTAGTTGTACTGATTGATGGGGATACCTAGACTGGTATTGTAAACCTTACCCCAAAATTTAACTTCCTGAGGTCAGATTTGCTATCGTACTAGAGTCCTTGCCTACTTCAGGAAATCCGCATTTAATAATACTTAAAATCCAGCAAGACGATTGAGTGTAAATTTTGTTCACGAGATGTAAACATTACCTGTTGTGTCAAGGCTGTCGATGTCATGTGGTCACACATATGGTTACAACCAGAATCGAAGCTGTTTCCATTAATTGTGAGTCAAGCACCTGAACTGATAAACTGCAGGTGCGTGGTTGCAGACCTACTAGATTCAGTATAAAGAGTGCATATGTAACCGTTTTAGGTGCTTGTTTGGCATTTTCTACTCTAAAAATAATGTCTGTCTGTGCTGCTGTTACACACTATGCAATGTTTTCTTTTTGGTGTATTCACTTATCACGGAAGGAGAAGGTTAAGCATAGTCGTTCAGTACTCCTTATTGCATTTTCCTGTGTTTAGATGCAAATTTTAAGGAGCATTCTATTTATCCCTGAAGCCTATTGTTTTCGACTTGATATTCATCTCTGTCAAATAGGTAAATTTCTGTCACTTCATATTGTTGGGAAAGGATGCCACTATGGTTATTGGTATTCAGTACTGATAGTACATATCAGCGTAAGTAGGTTGTGTAGCGCTGTTCATATATGTCTTTGGCAATTGTGGTAATTTGCAGCGTTACGCAGTAATGCCAGGTTCCTTGTGGATGTTAACTGACTGGCAAAGGAACTTACACATTTCTGATTTTGTCGAAAATATCGCATCTACAGATTGTCTCCTAACGTCGATATTCATGGCAGCATTTGGTGTTAACTGTAGTGTTGAAGCCTACTTTGCTGCAACAACTGACAAAAGAAAGGATATTTAGCCTGGTAACACTAAGTAGGAGGCGGTTGGGGATATATATAAGTTAAGGTATTGTGTTTTCAGATCAATCAATCATTATCAACATAGGACGGTCCGAGTTGCCACACCTCACGTCAGTTCATCAAGTAGAAAGGTAGTGAGGTGAAGGATGAAGATAAGTGAATGCAGTCAAAAGAAATATAAAGTACGAGAAGAAAGGAAAGAGGAGTGACAAAATAGTGAGATTCGGTATAGCGTTGTTAAGATGAGGATAATGTGTGTATACATCTGCGCCACTGACTTCGGTTCTGAGCCATATCACCTAGGGTCTCCAACCACTGGTTCCTCTTGTCCCGTGGACCCCAACCACCTAGTCTGCATCGTCCTACATGGCTTAAACCAACAGTCAGAGACTTCATACATTGGTGCCATGTTTTAGTCTGGCCACCTCGGGCCTTTTTCCAGCCTGAACCCACCTCAGCCAACATTGTGTGACGAGGCAATCGGTGACTAGGCATACGTAGTACGTGTCCCAACCATCTCAGTCGATGAAGGTTCACAACCTCGTCGACTGACTTACCTCTTCTCCCAAAACTCTACACCTAACTTCTGCATTACTCACATGGTGACACCACGGAATACGTCCTATACTACGAAGGCAACGGTGGTCAAACACCTGAACCTTTCATGTCTTCCACTTTCAATGGCCATGTTTCACAGCCATACAGTAGAACAGAGCGGACTGCTGTGCAGTACACGCGACCCTTAATAGACAAACGAATATCACGGCGGCGCCATAGGTGGCGCAAATTGGCAAAAGCCAATCGAGCCTTTTGTATCCGTGCAGAAATCTCATCGGCAACTAACCCACCGGGTTGATCCTACTTCCCAGGTAAGTGAAGTGGTCAACACACTCAACCACTTCACTCTCTATTGTTAACCGCGGTACCGCTGAAGACCAGTCCTGGAGCAAAAATTTGCATTTGGGTGGTGAAAATCGCATCCCAAACATTCTCAAATTCCCACTCAAAGTGTTCAGAAGACTCTGCATCTTGTCAGCGTCTTCACCTAACAGGACTATGTCATCTGCATATTCTAGATCTAAGGAAAATTCACCTGTGATCGGGTCAACGTTTGTGTAATTAGGTGACGAGAGGGAAACCTCCATAAGAATATCTATGATAAAATTAAATAAGAATGGGGATAGTGGGCATCCTTGACGGACACCACTTGATGAGTATAGCTCCCTGGACAACTCACCATAGGCTCTAACATGCCCACAAGTGTTCGAGTAGAGAGCTTTCAATAAGGTGATGTACTTACTAGGCACGCCTTTCAGTGACAGACACTGCCATAAGACTTCTCGATCAACGGAGTCAAATGCCGCCTTCAGGTCGAGAAATACAGCTATTGTCGGGCGTCTGTAAGCATGCCTATGTTCCAGGACCTGGCGCAGTGTGAATATTTGGTCGATACATCCACGGCCAGGTCTAAAGCCTGCCTGGTTTTCTCGGGCTTGCTGTTCCCGAGCTCCACTCAGGCGTCGGAGAATTATAGAACTTAGGATCTTAGACACTATGTTTGTCAGGCTGATTCCTCTGTGGTTATCACAAGAGGACTTCTCGCCTTTCTTGAAGACTGGGATGATGAGTGACTTAGACCAGTCGGAGGGGATCGTATTTGATTCCCATATACTGGCTAACACTTCCGTTAGCCTGACTAAGAGAACTCTACCACCATTCTTGTATACCTCAGCAGGTAGTCCGTCTGGTCCTGCTGCCCTTCCCGTTTCAGGCTACCTACCGCTTTCTCAACTTCTTCTAGTGTTGGGGGACCTGTCTCTATGTCCCATTCAGGGTCCGACTGGATAGCGGGCAGCGCAATGGTGGCTGGAGGCCAGTTAAACTGTTCCTCAAAGTGTTCTGCCCATCGTCCCAGTCTTCCCCTGCGAGTGAATCGCAGATCCGTCCTTCTCCGCTATAACCTCACTAACTGTTGTTGACCATTTCCCCCCAGTCTCCTTAATAAGTCTAAATAACTGTCTACTGTTACCGATCGCCGCTGCCTTTTCCATCTCTTTAGCCTTTGCTGCCCACCACTGTTCACGATCGTTGCGCAGACTTTTCGTCAGTTATTTTTAAGTTGCGCTCGCTCTTCATTGTACTCAGAGCCTGCAGGGATGCATTCACGTGCATCCATTAGTTTGGAAGAAGCTGCTGATATCCACTGGCTCTTTTTAGCCATTATCTTGGAGTCGGCTACAGTCTCCAGTGCTGCTTTTACAGTAGACTGAAGATGGCACCAAGCTTCTTCTGGATGAGTGACAGTCTTTTGTTCCGATAACTGCCTAGCCAACTTCTCACTGAACACGGCTTTGGTGTTTTCGTTGTCCAGCAGAACTCGTAGTGGTTTTGTTGCCAAATTTTTTCTACGTCCATTGAGACGCAGGCATATACGTGCTCGGACCAACGCATGATCGCTGTCCAAACACGTACTCCAGAAGGAGCGGCAGTCTTCCACCGATCCTCTCCAGCGATGACTAATAGCAATGTGGTCTATCTGTGTCCATCGCTGAGTCGAGCTCGGTGGACGCCAGGTCAGACAGTGCCTTTCTTTATGTCTGAAATTTGTGCTGGCTAAAAATAGGCGGTTATCTGAGCATAGTTGTAATAGGCGATCACCGTTATCTGTACGTTCAGCTGGGATTCCGAAAGTGCCACCTAAGTGCCTTTCTGCCTCACTCAGTCTACCCACCTGTGCGTTGAGGTCACCTGCAACAACCACTACGTCCGAACGTTTGGCTTTCGAGAGGAGGTTAGACAGTTTATGGTAGAACTCGTCCTTCACTTCATCCGAACTACAGTCAGTGGGTGCGTAAGCAGAGATTACAAAGAGACAACGGCGAGTCTCACTATTCCTTTTAGTTCTCACTGTGCCGTTCAGCCTCATAGCGCAGAGGCGACTATCAACTGGGATCCAGTCTAGTAGTGAGTTTTCTGCCCTGGTGCTTAATGCTATACCTACACCTGCAAGACCACGAGAGCTAGCTATCGAATCTCCAGAAACTCGAAGGGTGAATTTTGCGATTCACCAGATTGGTCAGGAGAGGTCAGGTGAATAACCACACTTGGGTCCTGTATGCGTGTCTCACAAACACAGCACACATCCATGCCCGAGTTGCTAGAGTCTTTGCCAACGAAGCCTGTTGGCCAATTTGACGGAGGGTGCGGACATTGAAGGCTCCAATATGTAATTTGGAGCGTGGTTTAAGGAGACCAGGGATGCTGTTCTGTGGACTCAGATCGTTGTCGAAGGCTGCAGAGGTAGGAGAAATTGAAGATGATGCAGCATCATTAATTAAGAGACGTGAAGGAAGATTAGAAGGTAATGATGGAGGAGGAGGATAGCAGTCAGAAGAAACTTGGGTGCTGACAGAGTTGTGAGGGCGGTTGACACTTCCCGGCTGCCCACACCGTGGAAGGCTATTTCTTCTTAAGGTACCTGAAAGAGATTTGTGTGACCGCAGAGCCCATCGGACATCTGCTTGAGGCCTGTCACACCCAGCCTTTTGAGTATGATTATTTTGAATTTTTTTTTTTGGGGCCGGATGGTCGAAAGGAAACGACAAGTGAACCAACACCGCCGGCCCGGCAGACCGTGGGGCGTGGTGGAGTGTGTTATTTTTGGGGCCGACCTTTTCTAACCCCCCCTTCCACTGAGAAGGCAGCATCAGCTTGGCACTGCTGGTCATCCAAGGGAAACACCTTACTGCTGTCACACCCCATCCAGCTAGCAGCAGTACGACTTCGCCCTCAGACCCCCATCATAGTGTAGCAATTTACACTATAACGGTAACGGTTTTCAGATCAGTGACTAAAATAGCGTTCTCTGTGTAGTATTTTCACTGGACGGACCTGTAAAACATTCTTTAAAATTTTATAGTGTACCACTTTCCAATGTGTTATACAGTAATTTTGCTCTTCTCTTCACATTGAGTTCATTGTCTAGATTCTAAACAGAGATTTTTCTCTGTGATTGATTTAGATAAGCCTAACTGGGAAGCTCTATCTGCAAATATGATTACCCGCACTAATGGATTAATGTTACATTGAGGGTTAACAGCTGCATTTCCTCCTACTTCCGAAGATCATAATTTTGTATTTCCATTCCATTTCTTTCTTCTCGACCGCTTACCCACGCTGCAACCATGATTTGTGAAGTATTTCCATTGCAAAAAAGACTTACGAGCTTTTATTAGTATTATTAGTATTAGTCGTTCTTCACTGTCTTCGTTAGAAATGTATTTTCAGTGTTGTATGAAGTTATATGTTTAACTGTCATGCTTTCTCCACCTAATTAACTCCTCTTCCAATTATATTGTTTTATTGCTAATTACATTTGTAGGCCTAAGAGACCTGGAAACATTTTTCCAGACATATACAGATTAACCAAAACCCGTCACAAGTGACGATAGGTCATTTGTGTTCATCAATATTGAAGTTTGTATTCTGTTATTTCGAATGGTTTTGTGCAAATTGGTCCCCATCTACTTATGAATACTAGTTGTCTCCTAGCAGTGGATGTTTCGTTTGAATAATAAACTGCTCTTCCGAATCCATGCCAATCTAGTGTATTTGTTTTACTCCTTTTGTACAGAAATGTTTGTATGATATACTGAACAGGTAAAAGTTTAGATGTAATTGGTTTATTTGAGACGCAGTGGTGCAGTTTTCATTCTTTTGATTGGTGTGAGTTCCTGCAACATTGGGAATATACCATGACAACAAGAGTGAAACATCATGTTGCACGGTTTCCTGTTGAACTCTTACCATTGTTTTCAGCATTCTTGTTTGGGGGTTTCTACAACTAGTAAAATCAATCTCAATGCTGCATATTCATGCACATTTTAGCTTCATCTTAACCTGGATATCACATTTTGTATTTTACCTACTTCCTCTTTTATGACCTTTGGCCACATTATTTCTATTTCTCGTTCCTTCGTATTGTTTCCTAGTACCGATGTGCTGACATAAGGCGTGGTAATGAAAACCGTTACACTGTAATACCAGACTCCATTTAGCTAATGACTGACTGTTTTTCGATCAACATTACATTGTGACATAAAGGTACATAGACCAGTAGTTACGTAGCGAAGTTAGTAAATAGGATTTAATCAACATTAACAACTAGATAATGACGTTGGTTTACTTACAGGTAACCGGAGTGTAAAATGCCTGTAATCGCCAACTGACTTCAATTCGCCCAATAGTTTGTTGTTACTTTACCCTCAGTTTATTATTCTCAATAGCTGCTTTCGAGTTAAATGACTATCGGTTTTAACAGGTTTTTAAAATCTTTTTATTTAGTATCATTAGTACCTGTCTTCCTGTTCGCCTTGTTGCATGTGGCTAGCTTCACCAACATTCTCCTTAATGTAAGTTATTTTCAATAATATTTAATGGTTTGTTTTGTATTGAGTTTGTTTATTTTGGTGATTTAATTGATTTATAATCAGTACTATGAAATTATTTCATTCACTTCTTAAAATAGTAGTCTTTGTAGTCAGCTGTAGTATTGTGTTTCAAGATTCTGTAGGTAGCCTTATACGGTTATTTATACCTGTCAAAAAATTGGAACAAATAAGTCAGTGGTTAGTACCATTCTTGAGATTTTCGAATGCGGCTAACTGGGTGTGTGTGGTCTAGATACCGGATGAACGATATGATGCTTCACAACTCCCTCAGCCAACTCAAAGAATAAGACAGCACTTAACTGAAAAGAGACTACTTTACTCAGAAAGTCTGAATGTAGGGGCATGACTAGTGTTTAAGTAGTGTGGGCACCCTTTGGGGAGAACAAACAAATTAGCGCATTAGCATTGACCGGTAGGGAAATAGCCTTCTTAAGCATATTAAAACTGAGCGATACGCGTGAGGTGGAAAAGGTGCGAAAAAGATTATTTGAATTATTTATTCGGTAAGTTTGAGAAATTTGGGTATAAAGCTTTCATTTTAGAGGATCTAACATCCCCAACAATTATAGCGAAGGATCGATCTGTGATTCATTTGCAAGGTAGGCGACCGGGACAATGGGCAAAGTACTTCAAGGAGCAGTTCGATTGACCTTCAACTGCTATTCCGTTGCCCGCTATCCAGTCGAATTCTGAATAGAACATTGATATAGAGCCTCTAACTCTTGCAGCGATCGACAAAGCTGTAAGTAGCCTTCAACGATAAAGGGTAGCAGAGCCAGATAAATTAGTATCAGTCATATCTAAACCCTGTGGTCGAGCATTACTGGTGGGACTCCCTGTCACGTTAGCCAGCTTATGGGAATTACACTTGATCCCCTTTGATTTGTTTCGGAAATTAAGCGCTATGGAGGTCAAATGTTAGTCAGTATGAACAACATAGTATTTAAGGTTCCTTATCAAGTAATCATTGGAGGTTTTAGCGAAGCTCGAATACAGCAAATGGGAGAAAGTGACAGCAGACAATATCAGGGGTTACTGCATAACAGTTGAATTTGTCACACCCTATAACAGACAAGAATATTTTAGGATGAAAGATATAAAGAAGCAGACAGACAAAAGTGATAGGAGGGCGTCTAAAGTAAGCAAGGAGGAATGAGGTTGGGGTGAAATTCGATATGGCTTAAGATGTAAGTAAGCGCCCCTGTGATCGATTCTGAGCCATACACCTAGAGTCACCGACCACTGGTTTTTAGTGACACGCCTATCCTGATTGGAAAGTACATTTCCCTATACGGCTCAAACCAACATTCAAAGATTTCATGAACTGATGCCTTGTTTTAGTTTTGGTCATCTTCAACCGTTTTTAGGCCTCAACCTACTTCAGCTAACATTTTACGACGGGGTGGATGGTGACTAGTCATGCTTAACACAAATCCCCGTCACTTGGGTCAATGAAGGTTCACAATCTCGTTGACTGGCTTTCCTCTCCTCCCTAAAACTATACGCCTGACTTCTATGTTCACTATACGGAGGCCTGTAGCGACTAAATATATATATATATATATATATATATATATATATATATGACTTTAGAGGGACTTTAAAAGCTACACTAGCAACTGCTGAGATAACCAATTGCTCTTTATGAGAAATTACCTTTCTGACCGGAATACTGAGACCTGATAGGTTGTCTTAGCAGTTGCTAAAGCGCCCTTTAAAGTCAGTTATAGCTTTCCGACACACCTTTCGTCACCCTTTCAGTTTCCGACGTCATGAGTTACTAACAATGGGAAAAAATAAACGTAATGGTACAAACTTTCACAAGGGTTTTTGAAAATATCACTTTTTATCAGTAATTTGAAAGAAGCAAAGGAAGGAAAACGAATAACTAGTTTCGAAATCCTTTTGCACGCGGTTTATTTAGACAATATCTTTAAATACAATTGGCAGATAGGTACTACATTTTTACTGCCTGTACTATTTAGAGATTAAGGATATAACTTAACCACTCAGCCCTCGCTATTTGAATCGGAGTTTGGACGTATAAGCTTGAATCCTTTGGATATAAGTGGTGATACGGTAATGTACTTTATTTTCTATCCATATTTTAGGTATCTGTATCGAAAAATAATGGTACAACGAGTGATGGTCCAGATATCTCAGTGCGTCCGCCTAGTTCAACTTATTTCCACCAAACATTACAAAAGTTGGTCGACAAAGTGAAAGCTAATGATCAAAATATTTTACGTGTGATTGCTTTAAACGAAATCATGTTGATGGTAGTGTGCATATTTATGGCTCTATCAGGACCTAGAATTTTTGTCCTACCCTTCATATACTATCCATTCTTAAAGATGCGTTATAATTCAAGACGCAATCCTTATACTCGGTAAGTTTCATGTTTCAGTATTGTATTAATTCCATATGCACATATGTAGATATGGCTCGTTGACTTAAGCACTCAATTTTCAATCAATAGGTATCGGTCTGGGCAACCGAGTTGTATCATAATTCTTCACAAAATTGGTGTAATTGATAGATTAGTACACAAATATACACTGGGTTTATTTGGAACATTAATGTGAACTTACTGCCACTGGTCAACACCCTTGTTAATTTTCCATTTTTGCAGCGATAAAAGATGTTGCCCTGCTTTAGCATCTCAAACAGTGCAACAAATTGACACACGAAAAGGATAGTTGACAATATGTTAATCAAGCTGTTTACGGACATTCCTCTCTCTTAGTCCTGCAACAAATGTTAAAAGTCAGTTGTAGGGATCTCTTGGATGTACATTTCGCCCTTGATAGCATTCAACCAACCACGTATACAACTTTAAAGAAATTGTATTCTTTTACTTCGTCCAGTCGTATAAACTTTGCATTTATACCTGGGTAGTGGAAATTTGATTGTTATTGAGGTTGGGGATACGCTTTGTAGAAAAGTATCAGCAGGTATGGTTGTCTACCAGTGAACTCCAAATATCTGACATCACTTACAGTACATCAAAACTATGCCACTTTACCGGGCGACCAAGTTACTCGTAATTGATAAGCTTCGATAAACACTTGGGCCTTTTTTTAAAAGCAGCATTGATTTCCCTTCGGTCACCAATTCGCTTATCCTGCAACATTCTGTTTTGAAAAGTTGCTTGTACATTACTATTTGAGTTCATTTCTACTCAATCTCTAGGAATATGCATTTGTTTCAATAAAATGTAGTCCACGTGTCTGGAATCTTGTGAACTTGATCAAATAAACCTGTTTCTGGATGATATAATCTGCAGTCGTCTTCCTTCAAAAAGTGTGATTACGATATTTAAAAGTTGGATGTTTACATTTTTATTGTCCTCATTTTTATTTTACTCTCAGTAATGCATTTCTGGAATTGCGTCTCGCCCTCCAAAATGTAGCCTACCATTCGAAATGTCCAGTGTTAATTTCTCGGATGATTTATGCTCTTATCAATATTGTATCTCGACTTGGAGCAAGCAGTTATACACGAAACTAAGATGAAGTACATTCATTCCCATTGTGTGATTATCCCTATTCATGGTAGGTAAAATTAGTGTCAATTCTTCAACTTTTTAAAAACTTTTATGGTATCATGTAATGTGACTAGTTGGTTTAGACATTTTTCCCAATTGGTCACTGGTTTGAACACTGCCCCATGTAGGTAGGTTTTAGACAGTCAAGTAGCATCATCAACCGTCACACAATAGAAGTATGGGTCATTGCCTACTGCACGAACGTGCACAAGGTTGTTGAGTACGTTTTCGACTTCTTTTATATTAGTCTTTAGTTGATGTAAAATTGGAGATGCGACTTCATCTTTTAACGATTCTCTTTTTAATTTTCATTCGGTTTCTTATTTTACTTTAGTTGTATAAATGCGTTTGTAACCTTAACAACTGCTCTTCTCAGGGTTTACAAGTGATGTTGTAATACATTGCTTCAAGCAAGTTGACTGTCAGTGTAATGTAGTTTCAAAACCCACTCCATCTACTTCAGTTTGAACAAACGAGTATAGACAAGTCTGGACACAATAATTGTTATCCACAGCCTACTACATAAACATTTTCGGCATTCATTTATAAATTAGAGTAGTCGGTGTAAAACCAACCAATTCTGACTCATTTTATTTCTAAATGTCTGGCGCGTACATTCATGTCTTGCAATCGTCCGAATCATAATGTGAAATATATTAATACTCTTTATCTCCCTTTTTTGTCTTAGAACTTTTTATATCTTTTAGTCCTTTTCATTTTCGTATCTTTGTTTGCACTCTCAGTATCTTCTGCTAATGTGAATCGTTGAAGCTCGGACTGTCTATCTCAATCGTGTCAAGATATCTGGTGATGGTGTTTGTCTATTTAGTAGACTATTTGAGTTTTACACATTGAAATACTTAAAAACTGCTTTCTTTCTTTCACTGTAGATCATTCAAAATATTGCGTGGAAAGGATGGTGATTTGTGACTTGCGTATGCTGACACTGGCCCCATCCCATCATTTAACTAACTGTGTTTATGCAAGGTTTTGTTTTCATTTCATTCTCTTTGTCATTCAAGTGTATTTGAGCGTTCAAGGTACATTGTGTTTCTTTACGATTGCTCTTTGTTGACAGTAATATGATTTAGACAGTCGCTATGTAATATGCAATCCTTCTTTTAGTCTTACAGTATTATTCAGTTATGTTTTATTGTGGACATTTGATTTCAACCATGAGTAGTTCTTTACTTGCGCACATAAGAACTTTCTTCAGTAGCGTTGTGCTATTGTAATAATTTGTTAGAATTGTCATTGTAGTATACTACCTTTATAATTTCATGCATATCACCTCACCTTTCTTGTTACTGGACTGTGTACTTGTGTGTGTTCCTTATAAATGTTCATTTGTTTTCCAGGTGTTCATGTTTACCACTGTCATTATATTGAATAAAATATTTTTTTCTAGGTGCATTGGTTTCGATTGAGTAAATAAGTATTGGTTTGTTATTGGTCATACTATTTATGTAAACTCTAGATCGTGACAGATTTGCTTTATCTACATTTATGATGTAAAGTATATTTGAGTTCAGTACTTAACACACTACCTTACACGTTCAGTAAGGAGTTGATGATCTGTTGTAACTGTCGTTTAGCATTTTTCCATTTGATGGCTTGCTACATACATTCTTTGGGAACTGAATGGTTTAAATAGTTCATTATTACAGGTGAGTATAGTGAAGTTTTTAGGTGTTGAGAAAAAGACTGACTGGACATTTTTGTATTCTTGACTTTATTTGCTGAAAAAGCGATGTTGATCTCTACTTAAGTGTACATTATACTCTACTATTGTAAGTGTATAACTTGGGCACTATGGTAGAATGTAATTCCATACTAGATTTGCTCATTTGATGTGGTATTATTGTATTATTTACTTAATGGTGTTTCGAACAGAGGTTATTGCTCATGATCATATTAATGTAATCACACTGCTTTCGACAACCGAGTTTTATAGTCCTGTCACCTCATATCTTTTGCTTTTAGGGATAGTAAAATTTTCCGTATCTCTGGTATGTTTGTTGAATCCTTCTTATTACACGTGTTGGCTGTTGATTCCGTCTCCATTATGTTACCATGTAAAGAATGAACGTCAGAAACTTTACGTAGGATTCTCAACAACCACAAACTCACTCAGAGATAATCTCTGTTGGCTTACGGATCCGGTAGATCCAACTAAGCAAAATAATCTAACCTATCAAGTTCCATGTAATAACTGAGGTCAAGTATGTGGATCAGACTAGGCGAGTGGGGTCAGTTAGGTCAATAGAATGTAGGAATTCAGCCAAATAGGATCAATAATCGAGAAAAAAACTCGACTGTTGCGGTACCAGCATTAACACAGTAGGGTCGGATAAAACCGCTGTACTTAAGTAAATTAGGTGGAAAGAAAGATTGATTACTGAATCTTTATTCACTGAATTATTACTCAACACATGTAGTAGGAATGACACAACACCTACGCCAGAGATTGAAATTTTACTACCAATAAAAGTGAAGAATATAAACATATAGGATTATAAAGATCGGTCGTTGAAAGTGGTGTGATTACATTGATATGATGATGAGCAATAGTTTATGTTCAAAACATCATCAAGTAAGTAATACTCTACCACTGTGTTACTGTATATCAAACAAACAAATCTAATATGGAATTAGATTGGAATGATTTGGAAACTATCCCTAATGTGCAATTGAGTGATCATTATAGCAAAGAACTGATGACTGCATGTTTGCTTCATTTCTTAGTATAATGAACAACCGTGTTATTATATTTTCAGAGAGCGAGGAATATTTTGAAATTGAGTAGATATCTCATGAATTTATTGCTGTTACGTGTTCTCATAAAACTATTTGTTCTCTGAGGAAGGTGGTTTTGATGACCACTTGTCAGTATGCTTAAGGTTTTGTTTATACATTGCAATTAAATACACGAACTGACTTCGTGGTTCCAAACATTATTTTAGTTAATAAGTAAATATGGGGATGGCTATACTTTGTAAAATAGGAATGACAATATTTTTATATCGTGTACGTTTATACCATTTCTTTTGGATTTATTATAAGGTAACATCAATAAAAAAAAAGTGTTCTATGCGCAAAAATATAATGTTCAAGGCTAATTTATGTGGTCATTACTAATTAGAGTAACCATATCGTGATATAGTGAGATGTGAAATGAATATTCAACAATGGGGAAGCAAGAATACTCAATTTTGCGGTTGCCATGTGCAAATTGTAACAGAAATACAACAAAATGTGATGCTTGTGCTACGTCAAGTAGAATGGTAATCCAGAAATTGTAATTATGATTTTCATGGGTGGTGAAAACTGAACCGTCGGTTTTTAGAACGTTGAGTAGTATGTAGTCGGATAGGAAGTCGGCAGTTGTAAAGAAATAAGAAAAAAGGGTGTGTAGCACATTTATTATGTGCTCATGGGTTGAAGGTTCGTCTTTCAAAATGGATATATAAAGAGGAATGGCGCTTTTGCTAGTTAAGATACTTGACTTTCAACGAATGAGCCACGTTTGAATTCCGACCAATCTATGGTTTGAGTAACCCAGTAGTGTCGCATGATAGGTGTAGCTCATTACCTACCGAACAAAGTTGAACATTTGCGGTTTTGTAGTGCTTTTCGATTTCGTGCAACCAAGCAGTTTGACTGATCAAGCTACTTTTACTAACCCCTCACCAATTTCCATGCAAAGAATGGTTCAGAAATAACCACTTGTCAATTGAAGTTACTTATTGTACACTAGTGTTTTCGAGCAACTCTACCAGCTAGTGAAGTAACCAATTACAGTTCTATATTTGATTTAGTTAAAATACTACTCCAGCTTAAATGAATTGATTGTTTCAGTCGTTGCTAAGATGGCTTTTAAAGTCATTCAGGCAATATTGTAAAATAAGCTTTAGGTGAAGAGCTTTAAAAAAATAGAAAATAGTGCGATCAATCATACTTATATGAAATCCCTGTTTCTCCTTCTCCAGCTTATAAAGGCCTAGAAAGCTTAGGCGATCTGATTGGAATATCAGCGAATGAAAACAGAGGATAAGGAAGGAAAGTCCAACCTCTGTTGCATAGTTATTGATCTTATTCATTTCTTGTGGGGGTACAACGATAACCAAATGCAGATTTTTGTACAAGACTACTAAATGTAGAGACTGCATAAATACGTTTTTTATAAATTTCTAGATTGAAGATTATGTTCCTTCATGCAGTTTTCTGCACTCTGTACATTTTCCTTAACTAAAGTAAAAACAAAATGTTTGAACATTATAGAGGGAAGGAAACTCACATTAACTTCACCAACTTAGTAGCTGTTGAATCTCGTAGTAGATTACATTAGCCTGCAAAATTGTGAAGTGGAAGCGACATCTGCCAATATCTAAATGAATGATAATGAACAGTAAAATCTTCCTAATTCGCTAACCGTGGAAATTTTTCTTTTACTGCTGCATACTGACTATCAAAGTGTAGCTGGTTACTTTAATACATGAAAATTTAATTTTCAGCAATCGTTAGCACATTTTGATACATTAGTTGAACACACAAAATATTGGTGATGTGAGTTCATTGAAAGAGATTAAAGAAAATCATGGGTCACTCTAAGTAACGTTTAAAGAAAAGGATCAAAGGTGAAAAATGTTACACTAAGCATAATGGTACATGTATCAAAAAGTTTTGTACTTTATATTTCATTAACTAGAATTAATTAAATCACCTACTCTACTTAAGATATTTGAATGGCAATGTAAACAGAAAAATAGGATAATCACAATAATTTTCAATGATAAAGTATTTCTAAAATGCAACAAGTATTCAGCAAAGAAAAATTTCTTTTCGACGAGTCATTTTCAGTAACTGTACGATTGTACATTATGTAGTAATAACAAACAAAAAAAACAAGTAAATCTCTCATCTGCTATTGGGCTATTATTATGTCATTAAAGCTGTATGTTCTAAGGTGAAAAGGTGAGTCGATCCTGCAGTTAGTAAGGGACTTCGTATTTATACGCTGTATAAGGAAAATACCCAGTCAACAACGGTGATAACTAGTGGATTATTAGAAAGTAACAACACCAATTTAATCATTAATTGGAGTAGAGTATGATGAGAATTTTAATGGGACTGTAGCGTCACACACTTCCCCAAAATCAATAGCCTAGGGTTTGACGACTTTCGACATTGATGCTGACCTTGATAGTTTAACTGGACTCGCTAAGCTGAAGGCACCCGGTCAAGCATCCTCGCCATTTGGCACGCTGTCGTGTTACGTTGCATTGCTCGTATTCGACTCTCTAGCCAGTTAGTTGGAACGCATCGGTATTTTGGCATAACCATCCAAATATACTATTCCATCCGACTACGCTATCGTGTTCTTCCTTGGTCTCGTATTCGTGGGTATATAACAAGTTCGAATAATTAGTGATTGGTCTTTGCGTCTGTCAAGTTCGCACCAGGACAAATCCTAAATTGGTGAGCCCGACGTGATCAATATCCCGTGATCACATATCCCGACCAATAACAAGTATTGAATTGGTGAGCCTGTTCCATTTTATATTTGTTTATTGTTTTCATTTCGATAACATTTATATATCCATTTACTACACTTTCTCATGTCCGACCACACTCCCAAGCTTATTCGTATTAAGCCGACTACGAACACGATCCAACTCGTGCCATATTGGCCAGACAATGCAGAAACATGGTTTCTGTATGCCGAGGCAGATTTTCGAGAACAGGGTGTCTCAGATCCTCATTCTCGATTTCTTGCTGTCATACGGTCACTACCGCGAGAATTAAACAGGTATGTTACAGCAAACATGTTTAATCCTGAAGTAAGTGACCCTTATGCACTTCTAAAGGCCGCACTCTTGAAGAAAAGCGATCTCACAGATCGCCAACGTCTAGACGAATTGCTTCGTAACATCGAGCTAGGCAGCCACTCAGCTACTGAAGTCCTCGCACGCATGCGAGAAGTAATCGGTGCACGAACATTTGACGATGGTTTCTTCCGAGAACTATTTCTCTCGAAACTACCACAACCGGTGCAAACCGTGTTGGTGACACTCCAGTCAGTCCCACTCGACGACCTGGCAGCCTCAGCAGATAAAATACTGGAGATATCCAGCAGACCCGTCTCCAACGTATATTCTATCTGCGACAAAACAGAGCGCCAGGATTCGGAGGTGACCAAGTTGTGCAACTCTGTGAAACGGTTGCTACGATCTCGAAGTCCTAGATCACGTAGCACTTCACAGAAACGCACCTTGGCGCATCGCAGCAAGTCGCGTGGTAGCCCTAAAACGAAACCCAACAGGGTGGAAAACCCTGAATGGTGCTGGTTTCATAACACTTACGGGGATGAAGCCAGAAAATGTCGTAAACCATGCCGTTTTAAGAAGGACC